TCTCTCTCTTTAACCTTCTCTTCTCCTCTCTCTAAAAATTAATAAAATCTTTAAAAAAATAAAATAACTTGTCCATTTCAGCATGTGATCAAAATATAAATGTTTATACCTTCTAACCCACAAATGTCACTGTTAAAATTATGGAAATAACCATCTGGTATGTCATGTGCAAGAATGTCTACTGAAGAGCATGGCTGTGTAATACCAGGTATCTTATAAGCATAAGTGTGTTCAAGTCCGTGCAGAGGCTGATTATGGAGAAGGACTTCTATACTTTACTGTTTGTACATTTCTGTGTTGAGTGAACATATATTTTTAACTGTGGTAATATATATAACATGAAATTTATCATTTTAACCATGTTATGTACATGTACCGTACAGTGGCATTTAGTACATTCACATTGTTGTGTAACCATCTCTAAGACTGTTCTTATCTTCCCCAAATGAAACTCCATACTAATTAAATGACAACTTCCCTTTCTTCCCTCTTCCCCAGGCCCTAGAAATGCCTTCTGCTTTTTGTCTCTGGGAATTTGGCCTCTCTGGGTGGAATAGTGGAGTTCTGCATCTTAGTGCAGTCATATAGCATTTGTTCTTTTGTGACTGGCTTATTTCACTTAGCATTATGTCCTCAAGTTCACCCATGTTTTAGCATGTAGCATGTTGAAGCAATGTTTAAAAAGCATTCTTTCCTTTTTGAGGCTGAATATATTCCATTGTATGCATATACCACATTTTTCTCCCATCATCCATCAATGGACACTTGGATTTTTTCCACCTTTAGATTATTATGAATAATGCTGTTGTGAATATGGGTATACAGATATCTTTGCTAGATCCTATTTTTCAATTATTTTGGGTATATAGTCACAAGTGGAATTGCTGTACCTATCTGGCTTTTAAATGTTGGTGTTTTTCAGGTCTAAGGACCCTTTTCTTCTTTCTCTGCATTTTCCCCCTTTGGTTATCTCACTAATTTCCATTGGATTTAAATACCAAGGACTATCCAATTTTTATTTCTAACCCATACCTCTCTCCTGTAACTCTAATCATTTGTTCTACATTTTCTCTTGGTGATCCTCTAGCATCTTAAACACAACATATCCAAAACTGAACTCCATACCTGCTCTTTCCCTGTCTCAGTAATTGGCATTTCCATTATACAGATTTCTCAAGCCAGAAACCCTATACTCTTGAACCTATATCCAATCTACTCCAGGTCCTAGTTTAAAATAGATTTCTATTCTGACAACCTATCCCCCTCTTCACGGCTGTTATCCTAGACCAGACCTCTAGCATCTATCATTTGAATTATTGCAGTAGGCTCCTAGAGATTCTCCTTATGTCTTTTTTTACCTCCTGTATTAGTTTCCTGAGGCTGCTGTAAGAAATTATTACAAACTAGGTGGCTTTAAGCAACAGTTCTGGAGGCCAGAAATCTGAAATCAAGGTGTCAAAAACTAATTGACTATAAATATAAGTTTTTATTCTGGATTTTCTATTCTTTTCCATTTGCTCTGTATGTCTATTATTATGCTAGTACTATACTGTTTTGATTTCTGTAGCTTTAATAAGTTTTGAAATTGGGACTTGTCCTCCAACTTCATTCTTCTCTTTCAAGATTGTTTTGGATATCCTGGGTCAGATTTTATTTTTAACAAAAAGGAAATGAGTGTATTCATCCACTTCCTTTAATCAGATTTAGCATAGTTCTTATAAACCTCTCTAATGGAATTCTCAAAGGAGGCCATTTTTGGATGAGGTATTTGGGAAGACAAAGAAAAATACATTTTAATTTGGGAACTGTACTATGATGCTTAAAATCTTTGGAATCTGACTTGTTTTAAAGGAATTTGAAGTTTGATTTTCATTCACAAATGCAGTTCGTTGTATAACATCCGAAGACATGATTTGTAGAACTCAAGAAGCAAAACAGAATTTTAGGCCTGAAGTCATGTGATCGTTGAAATCAAGACAAAGCTGTGAGTTTCAGGAGCCTTCATTATGTTAGCAGGTCAGCAAAATAAACATATAAATAACAGTATCTAGAAATCAAAACTAGACCTTGATTGAAATATGTGTTTGGGGTCAGAGGTATATCACTAATTATTTATATAGCATATTCATTTGATGATTTCAAATTGTTTTAGTAACACTTTTTTTTTTTTAATTCAGTTAGATTGCGCTAAAGTCAATTCTTCTGCCTCCGAGGTTACAAGGCTCCGCTCTCGCTGTTGTTCAGTTGGTTTTTCCAGGTAATTTCTCCACAATTTAGTTGTAATTCCAGGTTGGTCCTGGGAGAAGGTCAGTGTGACTTACACTCACTCCTCTGCCATCTTGATTCTCACTTTGTAACACTTTTTGAAATGAATATTGATAACATAAAGTTCTCTGGTTTTTAATTGCTTTTAAAAATAAAAGTCTTTGGTGAATTTTTTGTTTATAACCAAGGAATACCAGGAAATTACTCCCAAGTCTGAAGGAGCATTTATGGATTTCTTGATCCTGCAACTGGTCCCACCATATTGGTCATGGATCTATTTTAAAAATGTGGTGCCCAGAGGGAAGGGGGCAAAGGGGAAAAATTGATACAACCGTGACAGCATAAACAATAAAAATATTGTTTAAAATGTGGTGCTCATAGACCCATTATTTTTCACAGTCAACCAACCTCTGTTACCTCCTATTTTATATCCACTTATAAGGAGATAATGAATTCATATGTGAACTTAATATAATAATTTTTAGATATGACTTTGTTTGAAATATCAAAACAACCCCCCCCCCAAAAAAACCTCTAGTACTGATATTTCAACTGTTCTATCGCATCTCTCTCAGTCTAATCATGATATGTGGAGTACAATTACTGGTTGTACTAGATCCACTTTTGTTGTTTTACATTAACACCGTTCTAATAAGTTAGCATCCAGGGTGAAAGTGAAGGTCTGGCTCAATCTAGGGCATGACTCAATCCTGGTGCCTTGTCAAAATGTAAAAGTCCCTGGTAAGTACACTAAAATATAACTTGAATATTGTAACATATGTGGATCTCAGCGGAGATTTAAGAAATTCTCATTTTATGAAAGAGATGCATGCTGGAAGGCCTCACATGTTGTAAACATCACACTATTAAACCATCTACCATATATACCAGTCAGGGTTCTACCAGGGAGAATAACCAGTAGGATTTACTCATTTATTCAGAGAGTTGTTGCAAGGAATAGTCTTACACAGTTGTGGGGGCTTGCTAGGCAGGTCTGAAATCTGTAGGGCAGACCAACAGTCTGGAAACTTTTTGGACAAGAGCTGATGCTGTAGTCCACATGGAGAATTTTTTTATTTCCCAGCAAAATCTGTTTTGCTTCTAAGGCTTTTCAACTGATTGGATGATTTCTGCTCAAATTATAAGAGAATAATATCTTTTATTCAAAGTTGATTGTAGATGTCAGTCACATCTACAAAATACCTTCACAGCAGTACTCAGTAAGTGTTTGATTGAATGTAGCCACGTCGACACTTAAAGCCAGCTATCACAACATAGGACTGACAAAGTCTGTAGATATTTCTGTTTATTAACTAAACTGCCACCACCCAGTGGCAGTAATGAAAGTTCATAGATCACTTAGTTTGATAGCTTTGAAAATATGCAATTCTAGATTGCATTTAAAAAAATCAGGCATTTTCAATATTTCACATTTTGTACATAAAATAAAAACTTTAATAACGTTATCAGTATGTTCATATCATAATACTTCAAAATTATATAATTACAATGCACAGTACAAGCAATTCTTTTATCATGTAGCTTTTACAATGTTGAGAGAGTAGAAGGTATGCCTTTATCTAATGTAATTGCATGGAGGCTCTTACTGTTTTAGACCTTTCTAGGAGAGTATTTCAGGTATCTAGATGTATCTCAATTTCTCTCTTTCTTGCACCAACCTTTCAATATCTAGTCCATTCCTATTCCCCTCCCTTGAGGATCTGCACTCCTCTATGTAGGAGGAGACATTTTCTTCCTTTCATTCCTTCTTGAATCTTCCCACCTTTAGTATCTCAGGATTGACTAGACTATGTGGACTGCAGAGGAAGAGTTCAGATCTAGTCCAGGGACAATGGATCTGCACCAAATCTGGTTGTTTCCCAGAAAAAAAACATAGTGACTTGCTTTCCTCACCAGTTCCCTAAGAAGTATGTACACTACTCCCAAATTAGTATTACTTGTACTCAGTGACAACACATTCTCTCTCAAATGGGATTTCCTCCCTCAGCATTATTTCATTAAGGAACATTTCACTCCCGAATCTGGCTTGCAAGCATCATGACATTAGCTGGCACTATCTTAGTCAGCAAGGATCAAGTACACCAACTCCAAACCTCTCTCCTAATGAAACTGCGGTGGTGGCGGTGGGCGTGCGCGGGTAGTTCTCGGTTCCTGCTACAGTAGACCCTTGATAAATGTTTGTTGAATTAAATAAACTTGAACTTCCTTTATGTGATGGGGAACCGTGGATGGTCTTTGAACGGTGATAAAATTTTCATCCTATGGCAATACAAGATTTAATTTCTCCAATTAAATAAATAAACTTACATATTTCAAAAACCTTCATACTTCCTAATGGAAATAATCTTGGATGGAAGAAATGCATAATGGGTGCTCAAACTGAAATCGTTATTATTCCTAATGCAACATTAGAGCACCTATTTCGGTGCTCCGCGCATCACTCGATGCAGACAAAATATTGCTGTCTGAAATGGTACCAATTTCTTCTTTTTTAAAAGGCAGTGAAGAGAGCACCAGCCTTTCAAAAGAAAAATTGGGTTAGAAATGTCTAAGCTGCGGCCTGCAAGCCCCGCCCCTACATACCTGAGCGGCTCCCCTGACGTCCAGGCTTAGGTGAGGCTCAGCGAACCACATTTCCCAGCGGGCCCTGCAGGTCTCCCGCGCCTGCGCATGGCAGCGGAGGTGGCTGGAGGAACTCCCGCGCTATCCAGCCGCCTGGTCGCACCTCGCCTGGTCTCTGACCCGGGCATGGAGGGGGTCCCAGTGCTGACGAGGGGCAACGCGGCCGCCGCCACGGCGGAGGAAGCCGCAGCCATGCCGCCCCCGCCTCCAATCTCTCCTCCTGCCCTTACCCCGGCTCCCTCAGCGGGTGAGGAGGGTCCGTCGCCTTTGCCCGAGGCGGGGGCTCCCGGCTGCTCGGGCTCCCGGCCCCCCGAGCTGGAGCCGGAGCGCAGCCTGGGCCGCTTGAGGGGCCGCTTCGAGGACGAAGACGAGGAGTTGGAAGAGGATGAGGAGCTGGAGGAAGACGAGGAGGAGGAGGAGGAGGAAGAGATGAGCCACTTCTCGCTGAGGCTGGAGGGGTGCCGGCCGGAATCGGAGGATGAGGAAGAGGTATTTATAACTCCTGCTGACCATGCCGGGCCTGAGCGGCCTCTCGGTCCGGCCCGAGCCCCCAGCTCGCCGCGGCAGCCTTTGGCACTGGCGTCGACCTCCACCTCTGCCTACCTTGCCTGCCTAGGCATGTGGCGCGGACTGGCCTTGTGTCCCGCCCCGATTCCTTGCGGAGTCATTTTGTGAGGTTCCTGCAGATCACTTAGGCTCTCCGGGCCTGACGGACTCGTTTTCCAAATGATTATTGAAGCGACTGCGTGCCAGGCGGGTAGGCACCAAGGGCACCGTGCTCCTGCCGCCTAGTCTCTTGATGGGAAGATTTCCTTCCTTCCTCCCTGTCTCTCTTCCTTTCTTTCTCTTTCTTTCTTCTTTCCCTCCTTTCTCCTTCCTTCCTTCCTTCTTTCCTTTTGTTTTAATGTGTTAGTGCACACTTCATCAAATCAGGTAATAATACACATACCTACTCAGAATCAATAAACTTAAGCATTACTATCTGGAAAGTCTGCCCATTTTTCAAGTAATTCATAAAGTAAGATGCCCCTTATCTGGAAATATACACCATATCCAAAAGAATGGGATATATTTGAAACATTGGTTTATACCGTGTTATTGTATCTTCCAGCAGTGTTTTGAAGGGTTGGAGGTACAGTAACATGTTTTCGTGTTGCAGAGTAAGTTACATATTGGTTATAATGAAATCTTGGGACTATGGCTTTAAATTTTGAGAAGGCAAGAGCTTGTATTTTAAAACTATTTCCATTGCATTTGCAGCGCCTGATTAATCTCTCTGAGCTGACCCCATACATCTTGTGTTCCATTTGCAAAGGTTACTTAATAGATGCAACTACCATTACAGAATGTCTTCATACATGTAAGCATATAGTTCACATTTATGAATAATATATTAAAATTTTGAAATGTCTTGAAAACATCCTAATTTAAACATTTTCTTTTTCAACAGTTTGTAAAAGCTGCATTGTAAGACATTTTTACTATAGCAACAGATGTCCAAAGTGCAACATAGTAGTACATCAGACACAACCTCTTTATAACATAAGGTAAGAAGAATATATAAGTACAATTTATATTTTAAGTATGCTTTCTCTGAAAGTTTGAAGTCGTACTTTTGGGGAAAAATTCCTGACCTATCTCAAAATTAGAAGAAAGGTGGCTACCTATTCTTTAAGGAAAAAAAAAAAGAAAAATAGAGAGAGTACTTACTGTGTACCAGGCACTGTGAAACCTGCTGGGGACTTTAAAAGAGACACAAGTCTTTTTTCCTGAGGATTTCAATTCCATCACTCAAGTTAATGAGGCCAGTTGAGGCTTGTCACTTTCAGTATATTTAGAGTTCTATTTTCTACAAGTAATACCTAAAACAACTGGCCTCTTTAGAACAGCCTGTCTATCATAGGTCATTGTGGCTTATTAATCAGATTTTCAGTTCATACTCAGTTTCCTAAGGAGAGAAAAATACTAAATGTGAATTGCTTTAATTTGTTCAGCAAATACTATTATGTTTTTACTACCTTTATAGATAGACAGGTGCTTTGCAGATGATACACAGAAGTTCAAAATGCAGTATCTGCCCTTAAGCTCACATTTTATCAAGGGAATAAAAACAGCACACATGGAACAATTTAGCAAACCATTGAAGGATCTCCGATTACTTATGATTACATATACCTTGAGGTTCTCTGAGATGAGAACCATGAGCACTACCTAAAAGTAACTCACCTCTGAGAGATACCCACTTTCAAGAGAAAACAGTACCTAAAAAGAGCATCATTCACTCTGTACCAAAATGCATTTTTCTGAATTCTGAGGTATTCTCCATCCTTTCCTTTTATTAGGTTGGACCGACAGTTACAAGACATAGTGTACAAATTAGTGATCAATCTAGAGGAAAGTAAGTTTATTTTATTACATAGTTGTGAATCCCAGAATCTCTGCTGACTCTACTAGTTACATTTTAAGTGTAATTTAGTCTGTGTTTTATCATTTTTTAGGAGAAAAAAAGCAAATGCATGATTTCTATAAAGAAAGAGGTCTAGAAGTACCTAAACCTGGTAAGTTTGGGTGTATACTATAACATATTTATAGATTAAAGAACATTAACAATAAAATTTACTTCCTTTGAGGTTCTTTTTGGTGTTAGTTGGTTATTTTATGATCAGAGAGAAAGATTTTGAAGGTCATAATGTAGTGTAACCCAGTTTAATTATTTGTAGGAATTAAGGAGTACAGGCTCTAGAGCTGAATTGCCCAAGTTTGATTCTAGCTATCACTTTAGCTGTATGACTTTGACAAATTACTTCAATATCTCAGTTTCCTCAATACAAAGCACTTAAAACAGTGCCTGGAACATAGTAACTGCTCAAACATTTGTTTTGTTTTGTTTTAAATATTTATTTATTTTTAGAGAGAGAGGGGAAGGGAGGAAGAAAGAGAGGGAGAGAGAAACATCAAAATGCAAGAAATACATCAGTCGGTTGCCTCTTGCACACCCAAAACTGGGGACCTGGCCCGCATCCCAGGCATGTGCCCTGACTGGGAGTCCAACCAGCAGCCTTTTAGTTTGCAGGTTGGCGCTCAATCCACTGAGCCACACCAGTCAGGGCTCAAATGTTAGTTTTTATGATTGATGGTAATGTCACAGTATGGAAGTTAGATTTAGGTTTAAATCCTAATTCTTCCACTTACTATGTGGATAAGTGTAGGCAAATTGCCTAACCTCCCTTAACTGTAATCTCAGTTTCTTTACAGCTAAAAAAAAGTAGCAGTAGTACCTATGTCATGGAATTATAACAAGGATTAAATGGGATGATGCATGTAAAGTGCTGAGCATGCACTCTGAGCTCCCTGGCATATAGTGCTTGTTAAGGGTTATCTACAACTGTTGCTGTTACGATGAGCTTTCTTTGTGGCCCTGATAAACCAGCCACACATGTCTGCCTTCCATTGTGGAGTGGCCCCCAAGCTTACCTTTTATTTCACTGGTTGTGACAGATTAGCTCATGTTATTTAAAAAAGGAGATTGAGTGCTTTATGATCTTTTAAGTAGTTGACAAAATATCTGTGTAATTAATTTTCAAAAGTCTCAATTTATAAAATTTTTATTCTAACTCAGCTTTTTTGTTTGGCTACCAAATAGCTGTTCCACAGCCAGTCCCTTCAAGCAAAGGAAGATCTAAGAAAGTCTTAGAATCAGTGTTTCGGATTCCACCTGAACTTGATATGTCTTTATTACTAGAGTTCATCGGGTGAGTACCCTGAACCTCTCTACCCTTGAATCTTAAAATAAAGAATGTTTAAAGTCCCAACTGTTAAGAAATCACCCTGACAAATTTTTCTGATTTCCTTTTAAAAAGTGTTATGAAATGTTTAAGACTTAGAAAAAGGTTTAGTAACCACTTGTATCTCTACCATCTGACTTAAATAAACCATGCTATTATTTCAGGAGCCTCTTGGCTACCTATTCCTGGCCACCCTTCCTTCCCTTAGAGTTTAATAACCACACTCCTAAACGTAATGATTATCATTCCCTGCATTTTTTAATACATATTTGCCCCAACTGTATCTATTCCTAAGCAATATGTAGAATTGTTTTTTACTCATTTAAAATCTTGAAGTGGTATCATACTGTGTTTTCCAACTTGCTTTTTTTCACTTAGCGTTGTGTGATTTATCCATGTTGAAATGTGTAGCTCATTACACCATTGTCTGGTATTTCCTTAAATATACCATAATTTGTCTTTTTTTGTCTTGTTGAAATTTTAAGTTGTTTCCAGGAGGTTTTTGTTAATATAAATAATGTTGCTTCAAATATTTTTGTACATAATATCCTTGTTTATATGTGAAATAGTTTTCTAAGAGTTTACGTAGATTTTCTGAGTCTTAGGATATGTTTGTCTTCAACTTGGTTTTGCCAAATTGATTTCTAAAGTAGTTAGACATCTTTCTGATTCATATAAAGTGCTTCATTCAGACACTGTAGTGTATGGTGTATGCTATTATACTGCAACATTATTAAACAGACTATCATGATCTCAGAGTTGGTGCATATCAAATGGTAGTTTTCAAAATACTTATATTAGTTTCCAGAATAAATTAAAATGCTTTTCTTGGAAAATCTAGATTTTCCATTTTATGTCACTGATGACTATTTTACTTCTCAGTCACTTCTCCTTATAACTCTTGGTTGTATCATTTACTTAATATATAGCTTGTGCTATGTTGTATTTATCTTGTTTTCTCAACTGAAATCAAGAACCCCTAAGAGACAAAAACACACAAAGCCCACATAATAGTGGTTGATGTGATGAAACAAAGATCTCTTTGAAGGAATGAGAAGAAACCATATGATACCTAACTTTAAACCAGCAATGTCAGTTATTAAAGGATGTGTTTCAACCTATGTCCAAAAGGGAACTGGTTAAATAATTATATATAGCACATGAACATGTGCTAATATAGTAACGTATGTGCTAATAGGGGACAATTTTGAAATGCCTTAAGTGAAAAAAGCAAGATGCAAAGAGAATATGTAGCGTTTGCCCACTTACGTTTTTTATACAAAGGGAAATAATGTGTTTACACTTTTTTTCATGCACAGAACATTTCTGAAAGGACAATAAGAAAATGTTAATGGCAGTCGCTTCTAGGAAAGGGCACTGGAGTCTGAGTATAGAATAAGAAAAAGTTTTACTTTTCATTATATTTGCATTTCTGCCATGTAACTTGCTTTTTAATAACTAATGAAAATTTGAAAATTGAAAGGAATTTCTATTTTTAAAAAAATTTGTGGGGGAAATGTGATCTTTTCCACTAATGCGCAATAGTTACTGACAATCAGTATTTTTATACCTTTTTTGAAAAGTAGCAGGGATACACTTTGGAAAAGCGACAGTATTTCCAAATAAGGGTATGCCACCATTATCTCTTCTTCGCTCACAGCAGATCAGTAATTAAGCACGGCAGGCTTTCCTGGTGAGGGAGACCTGACCGCTGTGGTCAAGGCAGTCATCACCACTTGCCCGAGTCGTTATGTTCATTGTGAACACACTCCCTGCTACAGAAGAAAGAGCCCTCGGTAGGAATAAGGAGATCTAGAATTCAGTTCTAGCTTCTCTGTTATCTAGCTTTGTAAACTTAGAGGAATTGGTTTTTGTTTGTTCACAAGATGTTCATTGAGGTCCTGTCATGTACCAGCATAGCACTCTGCTAGCTGCTGGGAATATAGTTTGAATAAGTCAGCCATGACCCTTGCCCTCATGGAACATTTAACTTCTTGGAGCGTCAGCTTCCCTATTTATGAAACAGTAGAATTGAACTTGATGATTATGGTGGGTAGTCAGTCTGCCTTTTATTATAGGCCTTTATCTGTTTTCAAATGATTTAGGGAAAGAAAGCTTTCAGTGTGGAAGGGAGTCCTTTTTAAATAAATAAATTACTTACTTACTTACTTATTTATTTTAGAGTGGAAGGAAGAGAGAAAGAGGGAGAAGCACATCATTGTGTGATTGCCTCTTGCATACCCCCTACTGGGGACTTGGCCCACAACCCAGGCATGTGCCCTAGACTGGGATTCGAACTGGTGACCCTTTGGTTTGCAGGCTGGCACTGAATCCACTGAGCCATACCAGTCAGGTCAGGCAGTCCTTTTGAAAGAGAGCTTTGGTTGACAAAGAGTCCTTTTGAAGTCCCCAGCCCCCTGTTTAAATCTCTACGTTTTCAGTATAAAAGTCAGGCTACTAAGGATAACCCACAGGAAGTTTTTTCAGGGCAGGGGACAAGTGGCAGATCATTTTTAACCTTATGTAAGTACAAGGACAGATTTGGTCCAGTTGGTGACCCTACTGGAACTGGAAGATCAAAACAGCTGAGGTAGGTTAAGCCTGTGGACAGTGACTCTTCAACTAATGGAATATAAAATTAGATTTCCCTACTAAATTGAATATGCATGTTTTGTGATCTTAAGATAGTCTTGTACTTCTTTCTGTTCTTCAGTTTCTATGTTTAAAGCAGAAGATTATAAAAAGAAATGACTTCAGACAGTCAGTATAGTGTGCATAGAAAGAGCATAGGCTTTGAAGAGTCTAACTCAAGGTATGTAACCCTTGGGATGTAGCTTACCTTCTCTGATCATCAGTTTCCATATTTCTAAATTGGGGATGATTATAGCAACTCATAGGATTGTTGTAAGAATCAACATATGGTAGTCCTAACATATCTAAACTATTACCAGTATGTGAATATTGTAAGAACTCTATCTTGTACTTCTTTCCCTGCCACTGTGGAGGGGGAGGCTTGGGTGTGGTCAAGATTTGGCTCCACCCATAACCCACTGCCATGGCCTAGGAAAGGCATTGCTGCTGGAGGTGTGATGGCTGTCAGTACTGCTTTACAAGGGGTGCTGTGCTGAAAACTGCCCTCATCCACCATGACCTAGCTCCTGAAGCTGCCAAAGCCTTAGACAAGCGCCCAGCCCACCATTGTGTGCTTGCATCCAACTATGATGAGCCTGTGTCTGTCAAGTTGATGGAAGCCCTTTGCGCTGAACACCAAATCAACCAAATTAAGGTTGACGACAATAGGAAACTAGGGGAATGAGTAGGCCTCTGTAAGATGACAGAGGGAAAACCCCGTAAAGTGGTTGGTTGCAGTTATGTGGTGGTTAAGGACTGTGGCAAAGAGTCTCAGGCCAAGGATGTCATCAAGGAGTACTTCAAGTGCAAGAAATGAACAAATAAACTTGGCATTTGTTTCCTAAAAAAAAGTTATCTTGTAAAGGTTACTATAGAGGAAAAAACACAGTAATTATGAAAGAATAAAAAAAAAAAGAAGTTTTGCTTTAAGTTGGAAAACGTTAGAATGCTGCATGTGGGGAAATCTAAGTATTAAGACTGCCCTGCCCTCACCCTGGCTGGTGTGGCTCAGTGGATTGAGCGCTGGGCTGCAAACCAAAGGGTCACTTGTTTGATTCCCAGTCAGGGCACATGCCTGGGTTGCCGGCCAGGTCCCCAGGACAGGTGTGTGAAATGCAACCACACATTGATGTTTCTCTCCCTCTCTCCCTCTCTTCCCCTCTCTAGAAATAAATAAATCTTAAAAAAAAAAAAAAAAAGCATATCCTGCCCTGAGTTGGAGCATTACCCCATGCCCCAAAAGGTTGCAGGTTCAATTCCTGGTCAGGGCATACAACTAGGTTGTGGATTTGATCCCCACTTCTCTCCCTAAAATCAATAATAAATATATCCTTGGGTGAGGATTAAAAAAAATATGAAGAATATACTGAAAAGTTAAGAAGATTCTAATAAGTAACCAGGACTTCCCCAAAGCTGTCAGTACACCATGCAAAGCTTCATTATTGGCCAGATCCAGTGCAAGAACATGGAAGACAGTTTTGATGTGCCCAAACCTTACAACTTTAATATTTCTGAAATTGGAAACTTCTACACCAGAAAACTACTGCATGTTCCAACAGCTTTGTCAGAAAATGAACAAGCAGATTATGAAATGATTTTTTCCAGTAAAGTCCCCCTTACTCCCCACCCCAAGGAAGAAACTCCTGAAGTTCATGTAGTATAAAATACTACTGTCTTTTCCTTACCACTAGGTGGCAGAAGTGACAATTAACTGCATTTATTATTTCCTAAAGAGTTAGATGACCGTGTGTTAAAATTAAATTGATATTCTTCAAATATTTATATTCATGTTATTTTCTGTTATGTGATTACACATATAGTTTAAAATATTTTATTGATTAATTTTGCTTTCATTTTTCAGTGCTAATGAAGGCACGGGACATTTTAAGGTATTTTATTTTTCATTTGCTTTACAAGAGGACCCTGTAACACACACATTTAAGAATCAGATTAGCATTCATATGGAGATTGTCTTCAATTACAATAAAGAGAGTTTTATAAAGAAAAGTTGTTGAAATATGAAGTACACTCAATAATGCTCTCTTATAAAATAGGTTTATGAGAAAATAGTTAAGTAGGGATTTGTTATTAATTCAAAACAGAGGTCTAAGGAGGAATAAGTGAGTAACTTTTAAAAGTCTAAAGCTAGAAGCTATGTTAATTTGGTGATAAAAAATATTTCAAAGCATTTTTTGCATAGTTGGCATTTAGAGTTAAATGTGAGCTTAAAATTTTATTTGCATGTAACATTTTTAGCTCAGGTTAACCTGCCCCAACTTGTTACTTGGCAAGCTTATTGTTTTTCTTTTAATTCTGTATTTTTTATGGAATTCTAGTTACAGATTTTGATACTACAGCTCAGTATTCTCTACTACTTAAAAAAGCTGCATTTATACCTTATCTTTGAGTTCAAGTAAATATGGCTGACTAGAATGATTCCTGGTTATTAAACTTTTGACTGTGTAGATCTGTAGCATGAAAATCATAAACCTCATTTGTTCAATTTAAAAACATTTCACAAAGCAGTAATTTACTCCATAAAAGTTTCCCTGAGAGTCATTTAAAAATTGTTTTAATTATGAAAAATTTTAAATATACTGAAAAGTAGACAAAAATAGAAGCTTAATGTATCCATCACTTAGCTTTACCAATAAACTAATGGCCAATTTAATTTTGTCTTATACCCTCATCTGTTCACTTCCAGTATTATTTTGCAACAAATCCCCATCATTTTGCTACTTCCTCTGTAAATATTTCAGTATTTTTTAAAAGATGTCTTTTTTTAATGACTATGTATCATACCAAATGCCAGTATCATGAAACATAAAAAATAAAGTGTCAGAACTATTCTAGATTAAAGGGGATGACAAAAACATGACAATAGAATGCAGTGTATGATCTTTCATTAGCAATAACTCTTAAGTGCTTACTATGTGCCAGGAAGTGTAAATAGTTATTTACATGCATCATATCACTTTCCTCCTGATAATTCTGTGAGGTAGGTTTCTGTTTTACAAATGGAAACATGGAGACACAGAAAGGTTCACCAACTTGCCCCAAGACTTGCATCTAGAAAATGACAGAACCAGGGTGTAAACTTAGGCAGTCAGCCTGTCCTTGGAATACCTGCACTTGGCATCTGCAGTATCTACTATACTGTGGTACTAAGGGATAGGTCTGTTGTCAGGAAAGATCTTAAACCAAACTATAGGTAAGAAAGCTGAGTGCTGTTATATGGAAGAAACGTGTGCCTCACATGCCTCGATTCTCTTGGTAGCCGTTTAGGCTCCCTGTCTGGTCGTGCTAGAAAAACAACTGCTCAAGTTTTCCTAAAAGATACCCTTTTAGTTCTAATTACCTCAGCTTTTCTTTTGAATTAGATAGTATTCTGAAAATTTCCTCAGTGTGTGGCTGGGAAAGCATTAGTTTCTACTTTAAAACCCTGTGGTCTCTCCACCTGTTACCTCAGACCATTGCATCAGATTCCAGCCACCTATGTCTAGATGTTACTCTTTGTATTTTCCACTTAAAAAAGAAAACCCTCTTATAGAAAATTTCAAACTCATACAAAAGTGGACAGAGTAGAAAAATGAACACCCATGTACATATCACTCAATTATGAACTAATGGCCAGTCTCATTTCATATATGCTTTCACCACTTCCATTCTTCCCCTATATTTTTGAAACAAATATCAAATAATTCAGTTTGTTTCTAAAAGATAAAGACTTTTTACAAATGTAATGTACTACAATTTTAAAAATTAACAGTAATACCTTAATCAAATATCCATATACTATTTACACTTTCTACCTCATCTCATAAAAATTGTTTTAGAGGTTAGTTTAAGTCAGGATCCAAATAAGATCCAAACATTGTAATTGGTTCATAATATCTCTTATTTATAGCCCTTACATCTTTTTTTGGTCTAGCAATTCCTAATCCATCTTTTTCTTTTTTCTTAGAGTTTTTTAGTTGTAGAAACCAGGTGTTAGGCATTTAATTTTGGATATTCTGTCAGTAAGTTTTTTCTATTTTGTTTTCAATGAGGTAGTAAAATAGACTAGTGAGCCTTTCCATTAAAAAATTGTTAACATACTTTTCAGAGAGGGGAAGCTAAGCAGAAAATTTTCTTTAATAGCTAAACTAACTCAAAACTTACAGTAATTTTTTAATAAATCTGTTGAATCATCTTTGTTATAAAATTTGCTTTAGAGTTTATACATTTTATGTATATTTCATCTGAAAATATTTATTCATTAGTTTGTTTGTTTTTGTAGCCATTGGAGAAGAAGTTTGTCCGAGTTTCAGGAGAAGCAACTATTGGGCATGTAGAAAAATTTCTCAGAAGAAAAATGGATCTTGATCCAGCTTGTCAGGTAGAGTACGTGTATGTAAAAGGACAGGTGAAGTTGTGAGATTACCTTTAGCATATTAAAGAAAGAGTTTTCTCTAGGATTTTATGCAGTGGCTTTTGTCTTATGATGTTGTAGGTGTTGTATATGCTAATTGATGTTGGTACGCAGTGATTCCCACCCCAACTTCAAATCGCATTTGACTTACTGTTTCTCACTGCCATTGATGACCATCTCCGAGACACCTAGAAAAGTGAAATATCTATCTACTATAGACCCTATAATTTTTTTAAGGATTGAAAAACTAATCTCCCATTCTAGTTATATAACAGTTTCTTGTTGAAAACCTCAATCCTCATGTATTTGTGAACATAGAGTGTAAATATACTCATAGGTCTAGTAATATGGGCCAGTGAAAATGCACATTTATATAGCTTTACTTTTTTACTAGTCAAATGTAAAAGGGATTTTTGTTACTCATTGTGTGTCAAATTTCATAGGATTTGTATTTAAAATACCTATCTGCTGTTTAGTAAGTTAATAGATATTTTAAAGCTGGCTGAAATTTTGCTGGTGTTTTGGTACTGATTTCTATTGGTAATGTGTATTAAATATCTATTAAATCAAATGAAATGTAACTTCTCTTACTGAGCTTGGCATAATGCTGGCTGTATCTTATGGCATCTGAAAAGTAGATATGACTTAGCTATCACCTTGTAACCATAACATATTTGAGGTTATTCTTAGTCCTTTGTTTAGAAGTGGATAACTGTTTAGAGACTCCTGAGCAAAGAATTGTGAATGATCCCATAACAATCTATTATTTCTAAAAGCAGATGTCAAAAGACTTGAACCCAGTTATATAGAGTAACTAAAGTAGCACCCAAAAGGGCTTTTTCTAGGCTGTAGATTACATCCTCTGGCTAGATATTAATCAGACCATAATTATCATATATAAGTTTCACATTTGGTGTTCTAAGAAATTTGGTTGCTAGAGCTTTAAATTGGTTTTATTGTGTAAAAATGTCGTATTTTCCCCCTCATATCATAGAATTTAAGGCTTTTAGCATTTTGAAATAAAGTGATAAAAAGTTTGTTTCAACCTTTAATTTTCTTTGTGAACTCTTGGCTCTCTAGGTAAATATTTGTTTAAAAATTTTTTTTATTGTATTTTTACCATTACCATTTAACCCCTTTATATTCCCCTCCCCCTGCAATCACCACACTGCTGTCCATGTCTGAATCCTTTTTTCCTTTTTGCTAGATCCCTCCACCCCCTAACTTCCCCTCCACCCCCTAACTTCCCCTCCACATAGCTGTCATCCTTTTCTCTATCTATGAGTCTGTCTCTGTTTTGCTTATTAGTTCAATTTGTTCATTAGATTCCACATATAAGTGAAATCATATGGTATTTGTCTTTCTCTGAGTGGCTTATTTTACCTAGCTTAATATTCTTCAGGTCTATCCATGGTGTCACAAAGAGTAAAATTTTCTTCTTCTTCTTCTTCTTCTTTTTTTTTTTTTACAACCAAATAGTATTCCATTGTGTAAATGTCCCATAGTTGTTTTATCCACTCATCTACTGATGGACACTTGGGCTACTTCCATATCTTGGTGATTATAAATTACCCTGCAATGAACATAGGGGTACTTACAGTCTTTTGAATTAGTATTTTCGGTTCTTTTGGATGTATTCCCAGCAGTAGAATCACTGGGTGAAAAGCCAGTTCCATTTTTAATTTTTTGAGGTATCTTCATACTACTTTCCACAGTGGCTACACCAGTCTGCATACCCACCAACAGTGCAAAAGGGTTCCCCTTCCTCCACATCCTCGCCAGCACTTGTTGTTTGTTGGTTTATTGATGACAGCCATTCTGACAGGTACGAGGTGATATCTCGTGGTTTTAATTTGCATTTCGCTGATCATTGAGCATCTTTTCACATGTCTATGGGCCATCTGTATGTCTTCTTTGGAGAAGTACCTATTCAGGTCCTTTGCCCTTTTTTAATTGGATTGTTTGTTTCTTTGGTGTTGAGTTTTGTAAGTTCTTTATAAATTTGGATATTAACTCCTTATCAGTGGAACAGTATGTAGCTACTAAAAAGAGAGAAAGCTAACTATGTACTCTAAAGATATTCATGGTATTTTAAGGGTTGTTTTTTTTAAAGAGAATTTGGAAAAGGGAACAGACTGTATGGAAGAACATATTTGTCAATGATACATCAGTCAAGGGTTTAATCTCAAAAATATATAAAGAACTCATATGACTTAACACCAAGAAGGCAAACAATCCAATTAAAAAATGGGCAAATGACCCAAACAGACACTTCTTTAAGGAGGATATACAGGCAGCCCATAGACATATGAAAAGATGCTCAACATCACTAGCCATCAGAGAGATGCAAATTAAAATCACAATGAGATATCATCTCACACCTGTCAAAATGGCTGTCATCAATAGATCAACAAACAAGTGCTGGCGAGGATGTGGAAAAAAGGGAACCCTAGTGCACTGTTGGTGGGAATGCAGATTGGTGTAGCCTCTGTGGAAAACAGTATGGAATTTCCTCAAAAAATTAAAAATGGAACTGGCTTTTGACCTGGCAGTTCCACTGCTGGGAATATACCCTAAGAATCCCAGAACACCAATCAAAAGAACTTCATGCATCACTCTGTCCATAGCAGCACTATTTACAATGGCCAGGATTTGCAAACAGCCTACATGCCCATCAGTAGATGAGTGGATTATAAAACTGTGGTACATTTACACAGTGGAATACTACACAGCAGAAAGAAAGAATTCCTACCTTTTACAACAGCATGGTTGGAACTGGAGACTATTATGCTAAGTAAAATAAGCCAGTTGGCAAAAGACAAACACCATATGACCTTTCCTATAAGAGGAACCTAATGAACAAAGTAAACTAAGGGGCAAAAGAGAACTAGAGACATGGAAACATGGAATAGACTGACAGCTACCAGAGGCAGGGGGAGGGATTAGTCAACATGTATGGATGACCCATGGACATGGACAATGGTGTGGGAGCAGGAGGGGTGGGCTGGGTGGAGGAGGGCAAGGGGGGCGGATTGGGACAACTGTAATAGAAAAAACAATACTAAAAATAAAAATAAAAAATAAATTTGTAGAACAAAAATATGTGGCATAATCCCATTTCTTTAAAAACAAAAACCCCTACATGCACACATAGCATCTAGAACCCTTCACATATCAAACTGTTAGTAACTGGCCAACCTTTGGGGGTTAAGATTAAATTGAAAAGAAAAATAGAGTAAACAAATCATAAATGTATACCATGTGGTGAAGTCCACTAAGAGCGATGGTCTCTGCGTTGCTAAGTACTTAATAAAAACATGATAGTTTCTCAGTTCTTTGATTTTTCATTGATCTGTGTGCAAAATCTATCATCGCTTTCAAGTTACTTTGCAAACAAGTATTACTCTGCCTATGTTAAAAACTGGTAAGCATAAAATAGAAGTTGTTATTGATTGGAAACTGTGCAAATGAGATAACATAGGAGTTGACAAACTATGATCCATGGACCAAAACTAGCCTGTTTTTATACATAAAGTTTAATTGGAACACAGCCATACGCAGCTTCTTTTCATGCTACAGTGGCAGCATTGAGTAGATGTGACAAAGATCCTGTGGCTCACAAGCCTAAAATATTATCTAATCCTTTACAGAAAGTTTGCTGACCCTTGACACACACTTAGGCTTTGGAGAAAGATAGATCGGGGGACAGACCTGGGTTCAGATCTGGATTTTTGCTGCTCACTAGTTTTGGACCTTAGGGAAGTTTAATGCCTTCACCTGTTAGTATTCCTAGCTGTAAAATGGGAATTATAATACCTAGCTCACAGAAATGTGAGGGTTAGATGAGATAACATGTCAAATACATAGTATAACATATGGTGTACATAGTGGCTGTTCCGTTAAACATGCCTGCTTTAACCACTTCCCCAACTATGCTGACAGTGTATAGAATGTTTAGGATAAACAGAACTTGAAGGCAGGAAATCTGTTTAAGAGGTGGTTTTAGCCTAGGGTCTTACAAACTAAGAAGCATCAAGACATGGTAACTGATTACATGTGAGAAGAAAAGAGAAGGAAAAATCAGAGTCAGCAGTGATATTTTGGTTTAGAGGACAAGGAGAAATGTCATGCCATAAACTACGGATATTAGAAGATGGAGCAAATTAAGTCATATGTAGTAATAAGACTGCTGAGGACCTGATCCCATTTTAAGGCAATGGGACAGAAGCACTCAATGAAGGACCAAGAGATTAAAAATTTGCTTTTCTATCTCAGCAAGACAGTATACTGGAATCTTACTACTTTATACTAGATGACTGTATAACAGTACCATTCTTTCTAGAGCATTCTATATAAAAGTAGTTTTATATGAGAGCTTTGACATTACTAAAGGGCTCAAAAGACCTTGTTAAGATTATTCCATCCATAAAACAGTTCCCTTAATGTGTACTCTATGCCACTGTTAGACTTTCCACTGTTGGAAAATGAGTTATACCTTGTAAGAGAATTATTCAAATAAATAAGAATTGTCTTTTTAAACATTGTATACCCTTTTAATCATTTTGTCTTGGAACTTTTTAAAAAAACACCTTTCTGCACCTTCTTATGCTAGACACATCAAATGTAATTTAACTTGTACTTTTCAAGGAAAAGTTTCAAGGAAATCATTTGGAATATTGGCCATCCTATGCTGGTATCCTCCTGTTCCTCTACTGTTCTTTCCGTTTTACTCAGTTTACTCTTGTCAAAAATTTCTAAAATCTTTCCTGAGAGTGTTTCACCAGTTTAAAGTAAAATATCAAAGTGTAGTTTGGAAATAATTATGTTGATTTTTCTTAATTTTTCCATATGGTTTTTTGAAGTGATAAAGCATCTGATGTTTTATTCGCCTGTAGGTAGACATCATCTGTGGCGATCACTTGTTGGAGCGGTATCAGACTCTAAGGGAAATTCGGCGTGCAATCGGTGATGCAGCAATGCAGGTGGGTCTTAGACTTTATCCTACTTCGTGCCTAACAGGCAAGTTATTTGACGAAATAAAAAAGTTCCATGTTATCAACAAAATTTTAATATTCTTCAATTTTCTTAAAATGACCTGAACTGTGAGTAATAAAACTAATACTTATTGAATACTATGCATTAGGCACTTTTCTAACTGGTTTATATGGATTAGCTTGTTTATTCCTCATAATTCTATGATGTAGGTATTCTTTTATCCCTCACTTTATTTTTTATTAAAATATAGTTAATGTGTAGTATACATTATTTTCAATTGTACAATGTAGTTACTGAATTATCTCCCATTTTAAACAGAAGGAAACCAAGTTACAGAAAGGGCACGTAGTGAGTGCTCAGTAAGTTAGTATGTGAGCCACGGCTCAAACTCCAGGCAGTTTGATTCTAGAGGCCTTGCTTTTCTTTCAATAGAACTTTGAAGACCACTGGGCAAGTATATCTGCAAGGACATTTCCATAAGAACAATTTGCAGATAATCATTTGGCTTTAGAGAATAACATACCATTTCTTGCTCAATAGGTAAGAAGTCATGCTATAACTATTTTGATGTTTTAATTAGCCTATAATGTGAGTGGAAATATAATGTGGAATCTCCTAGTCTGGATAAATGAGAAGCTAGATAGGATCTACAATTTTAATGAAGAGAAAAAAGCAAGATCCACATATTCTAATACATCACTAAGTATCACTAAAACCTAGAGTGATAAATTGTTTTAAGAGTTACATGGCTCTGAGAAGCTTATAAAGTACTAACAGAGTTTGATGAGCAGCTTTCAGCTTAAACAATTTTTTTTTAATCCTCACCCAAGGATATGTTTATTGATTTTGATTTTATAGAGAAAGAGGAAGGGAGAGACAGAGAAAGAGAGAGATTGATCGGTTGCCTCCCATGTGTGCCCCTACTGGCAATCAAGCCCGCAGCGTAGGTCTGTGCCCTGATGGGCAATCTAATCCACAGCCTTTTGGTGTGCGGGATGACGCTCCAGCAAGCTGAGGCACCGGCCAGGGCTCAGCTTAAACAAATTTTTGTTTAATTTATTAGAAATATAATTCTTTGCTTTGGTGTAATTGCCAATGCTTAGGGAACCAACTACTTAAAATAAGACACAGGATATTGTAAGAATTATCTTCTTAGTGTGGATTATACAATTTCTTAAAAGAAGCAGAATGAATACACACAAACACTCTTACGTGCATATACACATACAAGGGTGGGCAAAAATAGGTTTACACTTGTTCATATAGAAAAAGACATGCAGGTTATGATTATACAGTAGCTCTATTTACTCAAAAGAATGTCACAGTGGCACAGTGCACTGAGGTGCAGCCTCGTAAGTGCTCAGGTTGCCGACCTTCATTATTGACACGTTCTTGTATTCTACGTGCTTTACTCAAGCACACTCTGGCACAGAGTTCTTTATAAACCTACTTTGCCCAATCCTGTGTATATTTTAATGACATACAATGAAATGCATGAGTTTTGACAAAGACATATACCTGTTTAACTCAAACCCCTTCTTGAGATTTAGAAGATTACTATCACCCCCACAGTGTCCCTTCCTTTTTTTTAAATAACAGATTTGTTGATACATGATTAATATACCATGCAACTCACCCATTTAAATTATACAGTTCAATAATTTTTAGGCCCCAGCTGCTGTGGCTCAGTGGGTTGAGCACCAGCCTGCAAATCAAAAGGTCACTATTCGATTCCTTGTCAGGACACATGCCTGGGTTTCCGGCCAAATCCCCAATTGGGAGTGTGTGAGAAGCAACCAATGGATGTTTTCTCTACACATTGGTGTTTCTCTCTGTCTCTTTCTGCCTCCCCCCTCTCTAGAAAATAATAAATTTTAAAAATCTTTAAAAACATTTTAAAAAATAACTTTTAGTATATTTACAAAGTTGTGAAGCTCTCATCCAATCAATTTTAGAACTTTTTTTCTTTTAAATCCTCACCCGAGGACATGCCCATTGACCTTAGAGAGATGGGAAGGGAGGGAGAGAAACATGGATGTGTGAGAGAAACATACCTGACTCACATGTTCATTTATGTTACTTTCCTAGGCTTCGTGGGCATTTGAATTTGTGAACCTTTTTCTAGAATTCTGGTGGGTTTTCAGTGGAGTTGCCAGGAGCAGAGGCCAGATTGCAATGAGTTAAGGAGTGAATGAGAATCGAGGAAGGAAAAGAGGGATAACTAGGGCAGGACTGGAACTGCAAGGCATGCGTGCCATCACTCCTCCCCTTCGTTGCCCGAAGTAGGCCAGTTGCTCATAGCACACTTCCCCAGTGAGTCTTTCTTTAACGCTAGTTTCATAATAAATTAGGAAATGGTAACTTAAAAAGGTGGATTGATTGCTTACTGGATGCCAGCTTGGTGAGAATACCAAGAATTAAGACCTGATATCAAGATAGGGGATAGACCACTAAAAGCAGATTAAAAGACTGAGAAGTACAGTATCTGCAGTCATTTGGTATAGGTTTAAGTTGCCTAACGGTCCCTGCCTGAGGACATCACTGTGTTACAACCCATGTTCACAGTGATGACTCTGGATCAAAGATGGTAAATAGTACTGAACAGTCTTTAAGGAGGAAGTAAAGTTATGATATATTAAATGGGTAAGAGTTCCAGAGTTTTCTCACTTAGAATGGTAGTGAGCTGCATTTATGTAGAAATAAATATTTCATTTCCTAGCAGATCCATGGTGCTTTATAATAATTGAGTCTTTTTTAGGGAAGCCTAATGCCTGGGTGGTCTGTTAAGTAGTCTGCGCAGAAGGAAAGGCACATCTCTTTTAGTTCTTTTTGGAGAACTGTTTAACCATAAACAACCCGAGCTAACCATAGATTCAGAATTGTTTCCTGAGAGTTATCAAAAAGGCACATTGACAGGGAGTGTTTGGTGATGAGGTGAGTGAAAAAGCAAGTTTATTTATGTTGGATCCTTTATTCTCTTTAAAGAATTTCACATTAGTGCTGGGTTATGAAAAACCATTTTTCAATTTGATTATTTATATAACTAGTTTTCAAATAGCTGCAAAACACTCTTTTTTCTTTGCAGGATGGTCTTCTGGTCCTTCATTATGGTCTTGTGGTTTCTCCTCTGAAAATTACTTGAAGATTCTAGGAGTATTAGGAGGGAGGAGGGAAACAAATTAAGGTGGCTCTGCAGGATTGCGTCTCACCAAAGAGTTTCATGGAACGTAATTGCTACCACTTTGTGCTAAGACATAACTTATCTATTTTCAGCACCAAGCATCATAACATTTATAAGTACAACTTGGAATGATGGAATGCATCTGTTTTACTAGCAACTATCCATAAAAAGCATCCATAGCTCAGGGGGAAATTTTCAAAGTATTTTTAAATTCCTTGTGATTTCAAATACTTTGATACTGATTTTGCTTCCTAATTTTTGATGTAAATCAGTTACTGTTTTCTTCATTGAGCCATATCACTTTTAAGTTGGTGGTTTGGATTCTACTCTGTGGAATCGTATTAGGTGGGCAGGAAAGAAGTATGCTTTTGAAGTGAAGATTAAAAGTCAGTCTTCGTTAAACTGTGCAGCCTATACCCCTCACACAAAGACCAAAACTATCGGCCACTTTTGTGTGTTGCCATCACATTTTGAACTTGAATCTTTTTTTTTTTTTTACCAGCAACACTACTAAACAGATGTTATTTGCTTCTAAAAGGGATAAGTTATTATTTTGTGTGAAGAGACCATCTTCTGTACGGTTTATGGCCCATACCATAAGCCTTCAGTGTAATAAAGACTTCTTTAACATATCTTGCAACAAGGGGTGCCTCTTTGCAACAATATTTTTATTCCTAGAATGTTAATTTGATTAACATTCATTTTATTTGAGTATATAGTATGATTATTGATACCTTGTAATGACACTTCTTCTGAAAGTAATAAAAAATTTGAGAAGTTTACAGAAAACTCATTGTTTCCTCAGTAAGTCAGTTTAATGTTCATTTTTCCACTACTTTGTCACTGGGATAAAGAATACGGGTGCTTGAGACCTCACTCACTTGCATACAGAGATTTCAGTTTAAAACATTATTTTGCCTAAGATTAGCATTTTGATAGCTTTCTATAAGAAATATTTTGTAGACTCTATTTCCAAGTCTGCATAGAAACAATTACAATTGGGTAAAGATTGGCAATTGTTTTATAAAGGATTTGTTAATTGTGTATAAATCTCTTCTAGCATTTAATACAAATTTTTTAATAAAAATTTATTTTAACCTATTTTGAGATGTTTGTGCTTCTTGTGGATTAAAAAAAAAATAACCAGAACTCTTTAAGAGATGATGTATTGAATTAAAGTTAAACTTTGTGGTCAAATGGATATTTTATAAACATCTTAACTAATTATACTCGATGCTGTTATTTGACAATGGACAGAATAGCAACTACAGAATTCATTGCCTCTTAAATATGTCTTGCACAAATAGTATTTTTATTCTTGTCCCCTGTTAACATATGTGTGTCAGGGATGCCCAAGACCACCCTCAGGTTCAGCAGTTCACTAGAACTCATGGGACCTAGAGAACCTATTATACTCATATTTATAGTCTATTACAGTAAAAGATACAGATTAAAATCAGCAAATGAAAGAGATGTACAAAGCAGCCTCTAGGAGAAGCTGGGCGCAAACTTCAGTTGACCTCTCCCAGTGAAGACACAGCAGCCGTGGTACGTGACATGTACAAAGTGTTGCCAGCCAAGGAAACTCACCGGAGCTTCAGTGTTCAGGGCTTTTACTGGGAGTCACATGGACATGTGGTGCCCATGTGACTGACTCAGCCATTGGGACTCTAGCACTGGCCCAGTGGTCCAACTGACACAGCATGTCTTGGGGCCCCAGATATGAGAAAACAAGCATTCGCCATAAATCACAGCGTTAGCATAAACCTGGTATGGCCCTAGCTCTCAGGTGTCCAAAGACAGGATATTTCAGGGCTCAGAGCTTATAAATTATGGTAACATGGGAAATGCTTATTTCTTAAGTAGAATATTAAATGTAATTGATAAACATTTCTGCAATGAACAAGTCGAAAGAATTTGTCACTTGTTAGACATTGTTGGACAAGATTAAAATTAAAGGAGAGTTCCTTCAAACTCATAGCCTTTGCGTTACACACCTCTCAGAATCTTAATAAAAGGCAGAGACTGGTAAGTAAGAGTCACAAAAAAGTCTACCCTTTTGCCCGCTCCATCCTGGACTTGACCTCCAAGAATCTCAACCAAGTTTTATCTGGTTGTATCTGGCCTATTGTTACTACCAGGCAGTGAACTAAGTAAGAAAGCTGATTGACTGGTTTACAAATCTGTACGTCCAAATCAATGTTATCTTGGGCTGTATCAACAAATAACAGTTTCAGAAGGGACTACATACTTCTGATCTCCAGTGCCTCTTAGGTCCAGTACCGGGGAGCACATGGCAACGGTGAGATAGGGAGCAGTCAGAGGGAGAGACCAGGACACCAAAAAACAAGAGCAAGTGTTGAGCAATTGCTTCTGGTTAACTTGAAGAAGTGAAAACGTAGGGGTGAGGAGGCAGTACTTGGTAGCTGTCCTTCAATAACCAGAGGGTCAAAGACTTAGATGAGGGGAAAGCACAAGCAAGAACAAATGCCCTGTCTTGCTTTGGGTTAGCCTTGCTGGGCCACTGGCAGCATACATTTAGTTTAGCTGGGATAAGGTCAAAGTTTATTCAAAGTTTTTTCAATTTTTACTAGGAACATAAGCAGAAACAAAACCAAATTCCCAAATCCACACAACCAAGGGTATATGAAGTGCAGATTTCAGAGCCTAACTTCAATGGCTAAAGCGAGATTTGACTGGCACAGCTTGCAGGTCTCAGGTTTTGTTTGCATAACCTTTCTCTGGGGTGATGCCCACAGGGGTATTTTGTGGCAGTTGTAGTTCGGCAAAATGTATGCGTGGCAGGTTTTCCAGCTCCTGCCTTCAATGCCTTCCCAACCTTTTCTCTAGGAGAAGCCCGAGCTGTTTCCTCTGCTCGCGGGTTTCACTGAGCTTCCCCTCTGTTGGCACTGCATTGCTCTTCCCTTGTGACTGAGTCAGACACCTTACCTCGCCTCTGACCATTCCCTGGATTCCCACAGGCCTCACACGCACTCACACAGGAACTCTCCTAAAGTGACGGAATTCTTGGAAGTAACACCTCTGACCCATTTATTTGTCTATTCAGTTTGCCCAAAGTGTATATTTTGTCATTCAATTCTAGATGAATGTTCTTGTAGAATCACCAGGTCATAATTGCTTGTCAGACATGTGACTAATTGCTTAAATTTTTTTTTCCTTTAAAGTTCTAATTGTTGCAACCTCTATGGTATATTTCTTATCTTGGAAACCTCTGGAAACAGAATTTTCTAGCAGATGCTGATTCTAAATATTCATCTTTTTTTGTTGTCCTGCACCAAAATGTTGGAGTCTTATTCCTTCCAATTGATGAAGTTTTAGGAATTTTTTTCTTTTCTATACTTATTCATAATTCCATATTTTTACATAAGCATGTTTTTATGCCCTGGCCAGGTGTCAGTTGGTTAGAGGGTCGTCCAGATAAACCAAGGTTGTGCGTTCAGTTAGGGTTACCCTCTAGTCAGGGCACATGCAAGAATCAACCAATGAATGTATAAATAGGTGGAACAATAAATCCATATTTCTCTCTCTCTTCTTCCCTTTAAAATCAATAAATAAAAGCTTGTTTTTCATATAACTTATGTCTTATCACAAAGCTATTCATATTTAAAGAAAATATAAAGAAGCTTAAAAGACCCTAGCTAGTGTGTCTCAGTGGATTGAGTACCAGCCTGAGAATCAAAGGGTCGCAGGTTTGATTCCCAGTCAGGGCACATGCCTGGGTTGCAGGCCAGGTCCCCAGCAAGGGGCATGCGACAGGCAACCACACATTGATGTTTCTCTCCCTCTCTTTCTCCCTCCCTTCCCCTCTCTAAAAATAAATAAACAAAATCTTTAAAAATATACAATAAAATTTTAAAAAAGCTTAAAAGAAGAAAACAACCCAGAGAAAACTGTTAACACAATGTATTTTGTGGTTAAACTTTTTAATTGATTTATATGACTACACTTTTGCAAATATGGAACTCTAATATACCTAGTAATTTGAAATTCCCTTTCACTTAATATATTGTGAATAACTTTCTGTGTCATTACTTTTTTTTCTTTTTTTAATCCTCACATGTGGATGTGTTTATTGGTTTTAGAGAGTGAGGAAGGGAGAGAGAAAGAGAAACATTAATGTGAGAGAGAAACATTGATCAGTTGGCTCTCTTATGTGTCCCTACTGAGGATTGAACCCAAAACCTAGGTATGTGCCCTGGCTGGGAACTGAACCCACACCCTTTTGGTGTGTGGGATGACATGCTAACCAACTGAGTCATCTCTCCAGGGCAATTACTTTTCTACTTATTCATCTTAGTGGCTGTACATTATTCATTATAAGCATAGCTTTTCCCAAAATTTTTAAAAGTTAGATTAAGATTTCAAACTGTAGGAAATGTATATTAATGTTAGTACAAATCGAGGTTTTTTGGATGGTATTTAGGATGACATCATATATTTTTGTTTTCTTTACATGCCTTGAATGGTGACCTTTGTTTTCTCCGGTAGACGATGGCCAAAGGGTGGGTTCTCATTTTTAACCTTTTTCAATGTTGAGTACATGAATTTGATTATTGGCCTCTCTTCAAAACTGGACTGACGAAATCTAACTTTTATTACCTCTAGAGGTAAATAGTCCACTCACAAATGAAATGCCATATTGATCTTCTGAAAGCTTGCCAAGTACTTACTTACATAAAATGGATGTTATGGTTTGATCTTGACTGCACTTTTATTTTGTTCTTATGGTGCCTGTGGTTTTTACAAGGGTTCTTGTGTGATACTATTTTCATGTAAATGAGAAAAGATTTTTTTCCCCTTTTTATGTTTCCCAGGGATAACATTTTCCCAAGAGAAAAGCTGGTTGAATAAAGTGAAGAGGACAAATGTCACCATGAACAGAATTTCCCCCCCAAAAAAGACATAGAGGCAGCATTGGGTGGTGATCAAGGACAGGAATTGTAATGCTGGGCTGCATAGCTTTTACTCCCAGCTTTGCTACTTGCAAGCTATGTGATCTTAGATGTGTTATATAACTTATGTGACCTTTAGGGGTTTTTTTTTCCTGGGAAAACAGTGGGAGCAATGATACCCAACTCAAATGCTTGTTATGAGAACTAATGAATATGGAAACACTTAGAAGAGTGGCTGGCATATATTCTATTATCAAGCTCAAATATGGTCCCTTGTAGTCAACTCTTAGATTACTTTGCTGAGTTAGTTTCTTTTTAATGAATAAGGGGGGTCCATTAATATTGAAAGGTTGATGTTGAACTCTTTTTTCCTTTCTTTCTTAAATGTTTTCTTTTTTCACCTTCTTCTATTAATAATCAGGAGAAGGGTGGGGACACAGGCCCTGAAATTGGACCTAGATTCTACTTTTATCCTAATTCTAGTCTTGACTCAGCCGCTTCTATTTTGCAGAGTAGGGAACACATGGGCAGAGTTTCAGTGGCTAGAAAGGAGTTTCTTCTGTTGAGCTCAAGTCTGGCTCAAGAAAAAGGTAAAAGATTATCTAGCCCTAAAGGACATCAGAAGTGCTATATATCATGTGTGAGCCCTTATACCAGGAAATCATGGGACATAGAAGTTACATCTCTCATTTATTCATATTCATAGCAAAAACAGATGAGCTTTAAGTGAGTTAAGTTTTTTAAATAAGATCTAAGGGAAAATGCTTTTTTAGCCCTGTGTAATAATCAGCAATTGACTAGAATCTGCTCCTGTTTGTATTCCCAAACCCCAGAGCTTACACTAATGATTTTGGTTGCACTTGGCTGCGCGTTCTATAACCTCTAAGAGCATGTGATAGAGCTAGAATGAAATGTCTCAGGCTCACACAGAACAAAGAAGCACTTGCCTCATTAGGGGAGAGGAGTAGCCATGTGGTGATCTGCAGTAATTAATCAATGAGGAAGCAAGCCTGGAGTCTCCTCTAAGATCAATCTTCTGTTTCTTTGTAGTCTGAATTTTCTCTATGTAGTTTTATTCAGAATTACTGAAACATTGTAAAAATATAAATCTTTAAATGTCTGCAGTGTGACTCTGTTTTATTATAATCTTGGGGGAGGGTGTGTGTTTCAAGAGATTGTAAGAAAGAATTTATAAATTTTAGCTAGTCCCAACCCCCACCTAGTAAGCATGTGCAATATCAGCATAAAACATGAGGGCTTCAATCTAATCATCTAGGAGATCAATAGAAGAGAAATCCTTTGATCTACGAAGCAAGCATTCTTTTTACCCTTTAAGGGGGCACGATAATGTAGTAAACTCAGTCCTTTGTTTGACTGCATTCAGGAGCACTTGCCCACTTGCAAATGGCAAATTCATGTGAGATATTGGAAAACTGCAAAAGGTACAATGACATCAATCTAACCTGTACGTTAAATTTGAAAGTACACCAGTAATATATATTCTATAAAGAAAAATACAATTTCACATATGAGTTCTGTTTTAAGATCCTATAAAATCCCCTCAGTTATTTCCATTTTAAATTGCTATGCTTTCAGGTACAGCAATTTATGTGATTTTTAAAAAATTGTGTTCTCATGATTTAGATGTTTTTCACCTTAGAGATTTCTGATGATACAATAATAAAAGTAATACTGAATCGACATCAGTGAGGGGTGTTCATAAGTCATTTATACTCAAGGAGATTTTGGACTTTTTCCTCAGGCTCTGTTTTGAAATCAATACTCGTATTAGATCTGGCTACTGTGGTCCTAGTGGAATTGCTTCTAACTGGGATTGACCCAGAGTGGCTGTGTAGAGTGGTCTCAGCTGGAGCAGAAGGTATGGCACCCGTTGTAATTATATTTTTCAGATAGTTCCATACATTCTCTATCAATGGATTTTTTTAATTGGGGTCAAATTTGCATGACATAATATTAATCGTTTTAAAGTGAATAATTCAGCGGCACTTAGTACTTTCACAATGTTGAACAACCACCTCTATCTAGTTTAAAACATTTCCATCACTTCAAAGTAAAACTCCCTTCCCACGGAGTCGTAACTCCCCACTCCCCCCTCAGGCAGCCCTGACGCTGCCCACCTGCTTCCCGTTCCGGTGGGTTTTTAAATATTTGATACATTTACGAAGGGGAGACCCTAAAACTCCCAGGAATATATTTTAAAGAAATTGTGTATTTATCCTTACATGTTTCAACTTCAGTTGCCTTCAAAGTACTCTCCATTTGATGCAATACACCTATCAAGGCATTTTTTTCCACTGCTCAAAACCATTTTCGAACTTGTGGGTTTTGATGCCTTTTAGTGCTTCTGCTGTTTTTTGTTTCACTTCTTCCACATGTGCAAAACGTTTTCCTTTGAGGACTTATTTCACCCGGGGGAAACCCAAAAAGTCGCTCGGGGTGTGATCAGGTGAATAGGGAGGGTGGGGCACGGGGTTCCTGCCATTTTTGGTTAAACACTGCTGAACATTCAGGAAGATGTGGGCAGATGTGCTTGTAAATTATCCATTACGGATGGGCAAACGTGTTGAGTCTTCAAAAACAATTCACTGAAGCAGAAGGCAGCGTGTCACAACAACGCCAGCAGGCACACTGATACAGATGGGGTCCTCGCACATTTACCTACTGGGGGAAGCCTGTGCTACAAGGAGCCTGCCCTCCAGAAGATAATTCCGGTTTGGGGGGGTTCTCCCCCTCACAAAAAATTGTTTCACATCTAGAAGCTTCTCCCCAGGACTATATGTGATTTGCATTATCTCTGGATCTAAAATTTGGAATCTAGTTTCCAGACAATTGCTCAAATCTTGCCCTCGCTCCCCTTAGCCAGTACAATAAGATGAATTCCAAGTATCCTGTGTTTATTACCTCTTGAGGAATTGTCCATTCTAGGCCCTTTGATAATGAGTTACAGAATTTCTTACAAAATTACCTTTAAAACTTCAACAAATTAGGTAAATAGCGCCCAATTCTGTTTAAGTTTTAGCAGGAGCAGGGATGCCTCTTGGTTGGACGGGCCCGCAGCCCCGTTTTGAGCTGCCGCCACCTCACTGCAATGCAGGAAAGCGGGAGGCTCAGGAAGTCTGCAAAGCACAGCAGTTTGCCTATGGGACGCCATGTTGCCAGGGGTTTCTGAGGCTGAGAGACCTTAAGTGAAACCTGGTAAGGAAGGGTGAAAAAGAAGACAAAAATATTTCTATTCCCTCAAATAAGGGGACTTTCTTTTACATAGAGAGGCAACATAGGAAAGAAAAGCAAACACTGCAGAGCCAGGAAACCAAGGTTCAAATCCCAGCTTTGTTCCTTACTGTGTGACATTGGGCGAGGGTGTTAGTGTTGTCATTCCAAGTCTCTATTCTTTTTTTTTTTTTAAGATTTTATTTATTTATTTTTGGAGCAAGGGGATGGGAGGGAGAAAGAGAGGGAGAGAAACATCACTGTGCAAGAGAAACATAAGTTGGTTGCCTCTCACATGCCCCAGTCTGGGGACCTGGCCTGCAACCCAGGCGTGTGCCCTGACTGGGAATCAAACCCGTGATCTTCTGGTTGGGATGATGCCCAACCCACTGAGCCACAACCAGTCAGGGCCAAGGCTCTATTCCTTCATTAGTAAAACAGATACACAAATATTGCACTTAAAGAATAGTTGTGAGTTTTAAGTGTGATAATTCTTTTTTTTAAGATTTTATTTATTTTTTAGAGGGGGGAAGAGAGCGAGAAAGAGAGGGAGAGAAACATCAATGTGTGGTTGCATTTTGCGAGCACCCTGCTGGGGACCTAGTCTGCAACCCAGGCATGTGCCCTATACTGGGAATCAAACCAGCGACCCTTTGGTTCGCAGGCCAGTGCTCAATCCACTGAGCCACACCAGCCAGGGCTAAATGCAATAATTTCATGTTCACTGCCTAGTATAGTGTCTGATACATGTTAAGTAGATACTGAGTAAATTATAGCTGTAATTATAATTTATAAATGAGGAAGTCTCAGAATTGTAAGAAAGAGTTTATAAATTTTAGCTAGTCCCAACTCCCACTTAGTAAACTTGAGCAATATTAGCATAAAATGAGGGCTTCAATCTAATCATCTTCTAGGAGGTCAATACAAGAGTCCTTTGAGCTACAAAGTAACCATTCTTTTCACCTAATGAATCTGAAAGTCTCATTATCTACTGAATCTAATAGTCATGTTTGGATATCATTAATGTGCTCTGCAGACAGGCTTCTTCACAATCTCATAGGCTCATTTTGTTGTCTTACTCTGTTGTAACAGTTGCCATTGCTTGCTTTCCTTCTCTTCTCCCTGCCCCACGTCACCCTATTACTGTCAATCTTCTGATTTTAATGTCTTTCTTCTAAAATGCTTTTAATGCCTTTCTTTTAAAAAATAAGCTCATGACACTTAGTGGCGACTCATTCACAACAGGAGATACAAATTAGAGACAGAGATTATATAAATGTAATAAAAGGGCTCAGGTTTGGCATAGAGAAGGATTCATTAATTAAATAGTATTCTTAAAAGAAACAACAAATGTCTATATTGCAAACCCAAGTATTGATGAGACTATTGTTCCTTAACAAGCCCTAAAAGATGTTTTGATTACTATAAAATTCTCATTGTTAGTGTACAACTAACAGATCTCTTTTTGCCAGCAGAGATCTGTAATGTATCTTTGAGAGGCATACGAGTGCCTAAGGTAGATGGACTGAGAATGACAGTGTTGTTCAGGATTCAGGAAGCTTCAGCTTCAACCACGAGCATCAGCTGTGAGTTGCATTCATACATCTCTCATTGCAGTCTCTGTCCTGGAACCTGGAGTAGCATTAGGGAATCTCAGCTTGGCCTCCACAGACTCCTGGACACCAGAAGTAGATAGCCCTGGAGGAGTCAAAAGCCCCTTGATCTGCACAAGATTCTGCATGTGTATTTTTTCAGCGAAAAGAGTTCATAACCTTCTCCAAGGGTTCAACAATCCCAAACAGGTTAACAGTCATTACAATAGACAACAAGTCTATTATTGCTACCTATGATCTACCTAAATATCTGGGTTCTGCAGGACTATAACCCCATTTTCAAAGAAGGAAGATTCTTACTGTTTTGAAGGACTTTATATCGTGTGTGTCTGCCAGTTTATTCTTGGAAATGTTCACCAACCTAGTGAAATCGTTATCCAGGCAAAGAATGCAGTTTTCGTCATGTGATTTGATTTCCCCACTCTCTGCCATGAACTGCTCAGTTAGTGCATTGTGTTTCTGACCAGTCTGAAACGAAGGCAGAGCATAGCCCCAAGGCTTTGGCGGGGGCGGGAACTAAACGTGGATGGACAGAGCAGACAATGTGAGATTTCTGAATTATTGGTGGGGGGCGGGGAAAAGCAGTTGTCTTGCTAAATTGAAACAGTGCGTTTCTCAGTCGAAGCAGCAGAAACCACAGAACACAAGTTACATTGATGGGATTCATGTGATTTTTAATTCTTCATTCACTAATGTTTTACAGTAAGTGGGGGAAGTAAAGACGGGGATGGAGTAAGGGAGAGGAAGAAGAGAGAAGTATCTTTTGCGTCCCTTGAACTATGGAAGCACGTGCTAGCGTAAGTAAGTTCAGTAAAAGCATCGTGTCCTTATCGCCACAGAGCTCTCGATGGAGAAGTGTGACAGAGACATGGCAACTCTTTAGCTCTGGTGAAGTGACTGCTGGCAGAGAACTGATTCTGCATCACACTTGACACACGTGGAAGACTGGGCAACGCAGCTGCTATGCGGTTGGGCAGATGAAAAGTGGGTGCTCCGGAATCTATGTGCTAGCATGTGAGCAGCGGCGCGCGGGCACCTTCTCTGGCCTGAGTGTCTCCTCCTGCGGCGGGGGACAGCCCACCAACCGGGCAGCAATGGGAAAACTGCTGGGCAAGACTCTTTTAGAAAAGAGAAAGGTTTCTTTTTTTATATTTGCTGGTGGTGTTGATTGACCAGAAGTAACTTCTTTTGCTTTGGGGTAGTAGCATGGCGTCCTGGTGATAACATAACCTACATTGAACACTTTTAAAAGGCATAGGAGAGTGAAAACAAGGCCTCTTCAGGACCTAGACTAGTGGGAAGGGGAATAGGTGGATTCTGTCTAAAGATAAGGGCATAGAACAGCTAATTCTATATCACCACACAGGAACCGACACAGAGACCTTCACTTTGTCCATTCATACAAATACTCACCTCTTCTAGCTTATATTACTAAATCTAAGGTCACCTTAATCACAGCTTGGGGTAACTATTACTGTGTTTCTAACATTAAGGTGAAAAGCTACATTCTTAATTGAGTAGGGCTTCTTTTCCCCTAATTAAGTGGATTTTATAAGCTGAAAAGCCTAAAATCTAGGGAGTCTTTATTATTTTATTTGTTGGGGGCAACCCTTAAAACTTATCACTGCCATTTTTTTTGAACCTACAGAATTAGGAAGATATGATCATAGATATGGTCAACATGCATCTAAATTTTACCCATTCAGCAAAGAGAGCCAAAGAAGGTTAAGTTCTTTTTGAGAAGAACCTAAATGTGTTTAAAAGGGAAAAATACTACAGTAGCCTTTTTTTTTCTGAGTATATGGAATTGAGGGGGGATGGGAAGAAAAGTGTCCATTAAATAAACACCTATCAGTTGCGAAACAGTTCTCCTAGAGTGGTGTTAGGAGTGGACCATTAGTTCATCTTTGGCAGTGATCTTATATTTTACGTACCTAGAGTGAGATTATAGAGCTGGGTAATGGCTGGTTATAGTGAGTGAACTAGGTTTTCATTTCAATTCACAGCAAATGATGATGATCACAGATTTAGCACCTTAGTTTGTACTTCCTCTGTACCTGAATCATCTACCACTGTAAAGTCTGAGCTTTAGGGGAGAAAGCTGTGTTCGTAGATAACACCTCTGTGATGGCTCTAGAACTGCAGTTTGCTCCAGTCTAAGGGGTGGTTTTCTTATTAGAGAATGTAGGTATTCGATGCTAAATATGAGACTGACGCCTTGAAGACATTTTATAGTGGTGATAGGTGTTTGGGTTCAGGAATAGGCTGTTTAACAAGTCAAAATGCAATTTATCCCCTCTTAAGCATGAACTCTTTTTAAGCAACGGAATTATATTTTTTGGCTTGAAACGGTGCTTTCTTCTATATTTGATTTCTCGGTTTTTTTAGTAGATATTACGGTCTCCTCCAATATTTCTTCAAAACTTTCCCCTATCTGGGAGGTTTTCTTGGAGGCTACCTTAGAAGCCTCCTCCTCTTCTTCCTCCTCCTCTTTTTTAAGAGACAGCCCAGTGGATGAGACTTTGGTGGTTGTAGAACTGAGGATTCTAGGTGGGAGCAGATAACCTGGATTAGAAAGTGGATTCAGCCCTGAAATGCTTGACCCACTGGTGCTAAAACGTGTCTCTTCACCTTCCAGCAGTTTCCTGTAAACCAAACAGAGAAAAAAAAATCTCAGGAAGCCAACTTGCAACTTTTTTAAAAAAGAACTTAACCCTGCAACTCCTATTCACTTTAGAAAGATTTGATAAGACTTTGCAGCTTATTCATGAGATTGACACGAACACATATTGAATTCCAAGGCTCAAAGGCCTGGAGTCATCCAGCACATGCATGCACGTTCACTTGTACACAACACACTCACACACATCTTCCATACCAGCTGTGGTTTAAACGCTGTCAACAGGAAACCTATCCTATTCACAAACGTATTAACCAAAGAAAGACCTATGATTCCCCTTGGCCTCATCACACCCATTTTTGGTGCTGAAGAGTCTACAAAGGTCTTGGGAAAAGTAATTTTGCTAATCAACATCATAAGTGCAATAGGAATAAGGAGGTGAGAAGTCCACAGAGGAGGCAAGGACTGTCTGAAGCAGCCTGAACTTGAGGTCTGTGCTTTTCCCGTGTACAGGGCCACAAACAGAGTGGAACCACTCATGTCAAAGACCAGTGAGTGAGCCTGTTCCAGATCCTGGACTTCTTCTCAGGCTGGCCTGCATGGCATCACAAAGGAGTGACCCCAATACCTTTTTTCTCAAAACTAACAGTTTTTAGCATCCTTTCTTTAAAATCAGAAAATTAAGACACTACCAAATATTCTTGGAGCTTTGCTTTGAAGTAGTATACATACATAGTGTAAAGAAACACAGAAGAAAAAATGCTCAGACAGATTCAGGGGTTGAATCTGAGCTCTTCCATTTACCAGCACTGTGACTATGAGCAACTTACATGGTCCATGGTTCAAGTTTCTTCATCTGCAGGACCGGAATAGTAAGACCTGATACCCAGATCATTTATAATGCAGTATCTGTTAGAGTGCCTGGCTCAGATTAGTCAGTCAAAAACTTTTATTAGCTGCTGTAATTATTTTTTAAAGGTAATTGTTCAAATGAATATTGCCTTGAGTAGAAATCGGGGGGATACCTCACCTATTAGGACCTTCTATGTTGTATAAACACTGTTTTAAAATTAGAGTCTGCTGGGTTTATTTCAACCTCTTTGTACTCACATTAGCTCCTTAATTCCAGCAAAGGTAAGTAGAATAACCAGAACTAGTAAGGTGGAGCAGAGATATAACCAAGTCAAGGGACAGAGGGGTCAGCTCACCTGGAAGGGGCCAGTGATACTTGTCCTCATCCTCCCTCACCCACCCACAAATAGCCAGGCAGCTCAGTTGGTTAGAGCATTGTCCTAATACACCAAGGTTGTGGGTTCAATTCCCAGTCAAACTACATACAAGAGGCAATTAGAGAATGCACAGTTGAGTGGAGCAACAAAAACCAATGATTTTCTCTCTCTCTCATCAATAAATAAAAAAAAAAAAAAGAAAAGACTAGAGCCACTTGTTGGGTCACGCTGCCCCAGGTGACTGCATTTGCTTGGGTGAGCATGCCCTTTGAGGTACCTGTAAGCTGCTATCTCAATGTCAAGAGCCATTTTGACATTGAGCAAGTCCTGGTATTCCCGGAGGTGGCGTGCCATCTCACTCTTGGTGTTCCTCAGGTCATTCTCCAGCTGCCCAATGCTATCCTGAAAAGTGACACATCCAACACTTTTAGGCCAAACCAGCCGAAATTCACTGACATTTCCCTAAGGCAAGGATTCTCAACCCTGACTCCACATGAAGGCATCGAGACTCGCCCCTACCCCCACCCAGCCCAGATTCTGATTCACGGGTTCTGGGCTGGGTCCCAGCATCTGCATTGTTTCATAGTGGTCCCAGGAGGCTTGGTGAGAGCTGGGATATTCTACACAGTGCACATGCTTACCATCCCTCCCCAGCTTACTGTATTTGCTGCTAACTCCCTTGTATGTCCTTTCCATAACTCAGTGCCTCACGCTAGGAATTTAGATTCAGGAAATTCTGACTGTAGAGAGCACAGAGGGGACAGCAAGTCTTCTCTGTCTCCACTAATTTGGTTTCCTGAAAGTCTGCTACTCAGTCACTGTATGGAAAGCATTTGACGACAGACAAGGAGGAAGTAGAAATACACCAGGTAAAATGTTTTTTATCCACATGGCAAGTTGAAATTATAATATTTTTTAAAAAGAAACTACAATTCATGTAATAGTTTTGCTCCCAGTTCTTCTGGGTCTGGCACACAACAGGCAATGGATCAATGCTTCCTTCTTACATCGATGTTTCTTTCTCTCTTTTTCTCCCTCCCTTCCTCTCTCTCTAAATAATAATAATAACATTTAAGAAAAAGTTACCTCCAGTGGGAGGACAAATTTTTAAAAAATCACCCACTTCAAAGTGGGCACTGTGCTCTTAGCTGTTATTATCCAATTTTTTTTCTTCTTTATTTACTAGTTTACTGATTCAATTTGCCACCTTCCTTTATAACAGAGTTTTTCAAACTTGGCTCTACTGACATTCTGGGCTGGATAATGCTTTGTTGTGGGGGCTGTACTGTGACTTGCAGGATGTTTAGCAACATCCCTGGCCTCTACCCACTAGATGCCAGCAGCACACATTCTCTCTCCCAGCTGTGACTACTAAAAATGTCTCCAGACATTGCTAAATGTCCCCTGGGGACAAATCGATCCTCTCAGAGAACTACTGTTCCAGAATGTGATTTACAAGGAAGTAGGGACCTTTCCTCTCTAGTACATCCTGGAAACCAGAGCCTAGCACACAGCACACTGTAGATGCTCAATGAATAATTGTTCAATGTTACATAAGCACTTTTTTTCTCATGACCTGAAAAGGTGTGAGCAAATAACCCAAATAATTAAGTTGCAACTTTGGTGACATGAAGAGCATAGCGACTGAGAGTTACTTTGTGAAATGGTGATGCCGATAAATATATCAGAAACCTCAGGAAAGTAAATGCTGAGGGGTCCTTGTATCTCCCCTGGTGTGAGGACGGTAAAGCCATGGTGAGAGGCAGGATTAATACATCAGGGAGTGCAAACTTCCAAGTCAAGAGAATCTGCAGAAAAAAATTAAAATTCATACCACCTACCTGTTCTATAAATATTGACAGGAATACTGCAAAGGAGAGACTCAATTAAGTGACAGGTACAGAGCAAGGGATGATGAGCAGTGGGGAAAATACACATTATATTGGACAGCAATGGAAATATTCCAAAGCGTGTTAAGAGATCATGAGGGTTTGAAAGAATTTTTACCAAGAAATTTTACTTGATGGTTGTTATTTGAGGTTAAATTAATCTATAAGCAAGTTTACTAGTGATGCCTCAGAAGTAAGAGAATCTATATTAACTGTAGGTAAAGAGGAAAGGATCCATGATGAGGGAAAAAGGAGAAAGAGGAAGTGTTCTCATTATGCAAAGAAGCAGGAGAAACACATGAGGAAAAGAGAAGGATTTCATCAGGGTCACTGGGTTGCATTCCTTGCCCTTCCACAAATATCTAACACACCTCAGCCAGTTTTCTATTTCAGTTTCTTCAAAACTCCCATTTCTGCATATGGAAAATTACAATGTTTATTCTTTACTGAAGTGTTCTGAGGTTCTCAATTTGGGATTCCAATTTAATGCACCTCTCACATTATTGTATGTTTCCATTAACTATTAAATTAGATAATAGGCATTAGAACAGCACTTGTCACATAGGAAATGCTCAATAAATATTAGTGGCTTTGATTATTGTTACTATTATACCATAGGACTCTACCTTTTTAATCACATGGACACATTAATCATGAGCCCTCCGTATAGCCCATTAGATAACTAACGAAGGCAATGTATATCACAACTTGAATATTGAATGGTCAGAAGCATATGCCTAAAGCATTATTTTTTTTAAATAACAATTTTGAATAAAAACATTTCTGAAGTGGGTTGTATCATTCTTAATTAGGACATTAAACATAATTCAACCTTTCTCAGTAACTGCGGGTTATGATAATGATCCATTTATTCTTCTGTAATTTTGTGATATCTTTTATGTTTTAGGCCAACAGAAGTATACCCAGCTGTTTATTTCTGCCCTAAATAACCCCAAAGAGCAGGGTTTGAATTAGTGTTTGCTACTCACTGGTTTTCTTTGTCCTGAAAGAACTGATCTGCTGCTATTCCTCCTAGAAATGCCTGACTCCAGGGGTCCCTTCTTCCAGACAAAGTGCTTTTCAATCATGTAAAGTAAGAATCAATAGACTGAGGGCATCAGAGGGGTTGACACCCTAATATGTGATTTAGAGATAAATATTTTTGTTTCATCAGCAGGTTAATTAGGTCCTGTCTAAAAAAATTATTTTCATTTCACAGCTGTTTTCTGAAAAAGAGGTTATTGAGGAGCTGAGTTCTAGATAGAAGAGATTTCCTTGAGTTTTTATGTTGCACGTTTCACATGTCTATTCTATGGGTCAGAGTAAACAGAAAGCATGACTTTGCTCCTTTCACAAGGACCTGTGCTGACTGCTGATCACTGCTCTTCAATGTCTAGTTTCTTTGTTTGCGCTCTTTGTTTCCCTACACCAGGCTGTCTTGCCTCGCCCTTCAAAAGCTCTGCCAAAGATGGCTTCCTGCTCACGAAATCTGAGCAGAGCGCTGCAGTCTGCCCCCTCCCCCAACCACACCCCAGCTGCTGGCCTAGCCAGAGGGAATGGGAGAGGCACTCCAAGCTCCAGCCGGGGTCTTTCCCGGAGCAGATAAAACAGGTGCTGAGCGTCTTCCTCAACGCTGGAAGGCTGTGGGCTGGGAGTTAGAGCAAACTGGCTCCACTAGCATCTGCAGTGAAGGGGAACAGCAAACAGAGCTATGGATTTCATCACTTTTAGGGGCTCTCAGCCAGGCAACAGTAGTGTGTGCAGCCATCCAGAATTACTGCTCTGTATAACAAACTTAGGTGGGGAGAGAGGATTTTTATATGTGATCCACCCATACGCCTTATTCTGCATCCTGTCTTTGTTTTATTCCCACATTTGTTTTCTTTTCTTTTTTTTTGTCTCTACCATACTTTAAAATCTTGCATTATATGAATTTGCTTACACTGAGAAATGTGGTTTAGGTCTGTGCACCCCACCGTCAATCTAAGGAACAATAGGATGCAGTGTTGTTTTTCTTCTTTAATTGAAAATGCTTGTCCTTGGGCCACACCTACTCAGACCACTGAGTCCATGTTGGTGGGAGTGGGCTTGAGAATTTTTTTTTTTTTTGGTAAGCCCTCAAGTGACCTTGGTATGTCAGTGGATTTAGGAACGACTAATTTCAATTTATTTTTGTAAAGGAGCTATTGTGGTGGCCAGTAACACAGCGAGGCAGGGTGGGACAAGAACAGAACAGAACAAAACAAAATGCACATGGAAGAGTTAAAGACTAAATGCGGCTCTTTTTCCTTGAATTCTAACTGCAGAAATGGATCTATCAAATGCTATAGATTTATCTGCAGGCACTGCCACCCCCAGTGTCCTCGGGACCAGCCCCTTCCTGCTATTTAATTAGGCTCTATTCCAACCTCATATTGGAGGGAAGAGGGCAGCCTTGGCTTCTCTCCCTGGCGAGCATTAAATACTGGTGATCTTGATTGTTCAGCAAGGCCTTTCAAGGAAAGCTTTAGCTTTCCAAGACTGACCATAGTACAGGGTCAGGGGCCCCAGCACCCTTCGGAAATGTCCTTAGATATCTTTGGAAGAAGGGGGGCTCTCCTGGTGGTGAAGCAGCTACGCAGGGACCTGAATTGCTGTTTTAGAAATGGAAAAGCCTCCAGTTAAGGAAGGTGGCTGCACTTAGCTTTTGAAGACAAAATCCCTAGCTCTTCCTCATCCCTCCTATAACCTGCTTTGGACCTCTCATTTACCATTGTGTGCTTACTATGTCACCTTGAATCATTCTTTACCCTTTCAAAGTGCAATAAGCTTTCCCTCCTCAAATAGGCTGTCAGCTCTCAGGGTCAGGGAAAACGTGACTTTAATGGAGCCTTCCTCTGCCTCTTGGTGGGGGGCAAGCTTGCAAAGGAAAATGGGCCTACGACTAATCACTGAAGCAGAAGAAAGAGAACAGCCTCCCATTACCGCAGTGAAAGGGAAGGCGGTGGGGGTGAGAGGGCAAGAAAACAATGGCTGAATCTCACTGTGGAGAAGGAAGCTTTCCATCTTCATCAGCACTGCTGATGGTGTTAGAACAGCCAGAGGACACCCTTGTGGCTTCAGGCCTTCAGGATCCGTAGGTAAGGATGTGAGCCCCTCCTCAGTCTTAGGTTCCAGAGGGTAGGAAATAGCTGTCATCTGACATCTTCCACTCCATCAGCAGGTCCACTGAGGCACTGAACGCTAACGCTGAGGGGGCGGCTCTGCAGAGCTGCAGGCGTGCCGCAGTTTCTGTCAGGTTTCTTTTTCCTCCTGTGGACTATGTCTACATGGCCCTCCTGTTGTCTAACACTGAAAGCCTTTTAATGCAAACAAAAAAAAGGCAGACAATATTGGCACTGCCCTGTGGAACGAAGGGGCTGTAACAAGCAAACAGAGGACTTGGCAAAGTCCAATTCAGATGGCAGTTGTGGGTAAGTTATCCTTTCTGTGGAAATGTTGGACTAGCCCTTCAGAAGATCACCTAACTCACCCTGTTAGGCTTCTAGAAGAAAACGTGAAGCTTCAATTAACTAAATGTGATTAACCTAGACATTCCAGGGGCTGGGACACATAGTGAAAAATTCAAGTTACAGATCATGAAGCAGAATAGAAGTCTTCATTTGAATAGTGCTGTAATGGCTTACTAAACAAAGCAAACGACCCAAGCAGGCTTTCTTCCTTTATCAAAGGAAGTCATTTATAATGAACAACAAATACCTGCACACCAATAATTATTCTTTATCTCCAGACTAAAATCATACTTTTAAGGTTTCATTCCTTTCTTGTATGTATTTTGTTAATGTTCCCCAAACCCTATTAATTTAATCAAATACAAAGTTTGATCTTGGCTAGAATGAATTATTGCAAGTTTCTGAATTATTAGTTTCTACCCAAAGGAGATTTTATTGTACTTTTAATCTGAACTGCACTATTTAGATTATTTTCTACATTTTTCTCCTACCTCTGTGCCCTTGTGGTCATAAGCCCAGAACATCTGACATAGAAAAAATGAAGATGCAGTGGTCTTTGGAGAAATAGAGAAGGAAAGAGCCAATCAAAGGGACTTACAGAACAGGCAAAGATGAAAAATAAGTGATCTATAGCAAAGACAGAATTCATCTCTTTGATTTATCATATGCACTTAGGTTGGAAAAATGTTAAGAAAATGGGCATTTTCAAGTGAGACCTCACTGCTGCTGAGCAGATTAAGTGGTTTTTGTTCAGTGCTAAGCCATCCATGAAAGTGAAAATTGATGCTGTCCATGAGGTGACCTTTGATTGCAGGTAGCCAAGACTAATGTGTTGGTGTTGCAGGGAAAAAAAATTCAAAGCAGTTAATTGCCTAGAGAGTCATAACTGGGACATGCGACAGGAGACACATTTCTGAGATGTGAGGAACTCGGGATCAGCACCGAGGACAGCTCCCCTGCCCTTCTCGGTGGCCAACCGGGGAAAGCTTTATTTAGGAAGAGATACCATTAATCGATCGGTCGACGGGGGTGGGGGTGGGGGGTGGAGAGAGGGGGGGAGATGGGGGGAGAGAGAGAGACAGAGAGAGAGTGTGTATGTGTGTTGGGGGAGGGGTCTAGCAACAGCCTGGCAGTTACACTAGCCCAACCACCCATCTTGCTGGTTCCCAATCTGTACTCCTTTGAGAATAAAAGTCAAGAAAATGGGGTAGAATCCTTCCCAGTTCAGCTCAGCATTCTTCCCCCAACACCAGGGCAGACCATACTCTACAAATACGTCTTCTGGGGCGTACAGAAAGCCTTTCAAAGTTAACAAAAGAAGTCAGAGAGCTGAGACAGTACCGCCAGTCCCGAAGAGGGCGTAGCCCACCTGCGTTGGGCTCACTCCTGCTTTGGGTGGGAAACTGTTCTTCAAGTCTTAAGTATGTTTATTCCCACTTGACGACATGTAGGCATTAGATTTTCGGACTCTGAGAAGAGGGGCAAAGGACTTTTTTATTAGAAGGGCTCTGGAAAGGGATGTAAATAAGGGACAGGAAAAGGGGTTCAGGACCCTAAAATTATTAGTGGAGAGCCCAGGGCTTTTTGTTTGCCAAGGCCTCTAGTCGAGGCTTTGTTTCTCCCCTTCTTTCCGCTCTCCTACAGTTCTTTGGGCCACGACTATGGGGGAAAGAGCGGTATGCGTGGGAGGGGACAGGGTGCCACTCCCTACCCAGCGCTCCAGTCCTTACCTGGTAGCTAGCCACTTCAGCACTGTGTCGCTCCTCCAGCTCCAGTATCTGCCTCTCCAAGGACTCATTGGCTCCACGCAGACCCTCAATCTCGATGGTGCGTGCCTGCAGCTGGCGCCGGTACTCGTGAATCTCTTCACGACTGGCGCGGATGGCCTCGGTGCTGCGCGCTGCCTGCTCGTTCAGGTTGGCAAACTTGGACTTGTACCACTCCTCGGCTGACTGGAGATTCTTGGCGGCCAGAGACTCATACTGGGCGCGAATCTCCCTCAGCGCAGAACTCAGGTCTGGTTTAGCCACAGCCACGTCCACCTCTGCAGCAGCCTGCGACGACGCCTGCAGCGTGGCCAGCAGCTCGGCCACCTCCTCGTCGTGCACCTGGCGCACGAAGGCCAGTTCATCCAGGAGCGACTCCACCTTCTTCTCCAGGTCCAGGCGGGCCAGCGTGGCGCCGTCCACGTCGCGCTGCTGCGCCTTCAGGGCGCGCTCGGCGCCTTCGCGCCCCCGGCTCTCCTCCTCGCAGCGCGCCCGCAGCCGCTGCACCTCCTCCGCCAGCCCGTCGCGCTCCAGCAGGGCCTGTGCGCGAGCCGAGCTCGCCTCCTCCAGTTGCGCGCGCAGGTCCCGCAGCTCGCGCTGGAAGAGCTCGCCAACGCGCGACGGCTCAGCGTGGCGCTGCCGCAGCGCGGCCAGCTCGGCCTCGAGCGCACGATTCTGCGTCTCCAGCTGATGCACCTTCTCGATGAACACAGCAAAGCGGTCGTTGAGGCCCTGCAGCTGCTCCTTCTCGTTGGTGCGGATGATCTTGTACTCGTTGGTGCGCGCTGCCGCCTGGCTCAGGTCCAGCCCGTCGGACGCCGGAGGCCGGCGGTAGGCCAGGCCCAGGCCGAGCGAAGAGACAGAGGAGCAGGCAGCCGAGGAAGCCACATTGCAGCGGGACAACGACTGAGAGCGGTAGCTGCCTGCGCCGCCGGCCCCAGAGAGGCGCGAAGACAGACGAGAGCTGTCTCCGAACACCTTGCGGTAGGAGGAGGGGCCGCACAGGTAGTGCTCCGAGCCGAAGCTCATGGTGCCAGGACCAGGGCCGGGAGAACGACCGCGGCTGTAGATACAAAGGCGAGGAGAGGTGCGCCAGACGGGGCGCGGCAGGGCGGTGTGCACTGGGTTTTAAGGCGCGGGAGGGGAGGGGGGTTGGGGAGGCGCGTTTGGGGCGGAGCTCCTGCTCTGGGTCTGGCTGCGAGAGGGAAGTGGGGGGGCATCAGGATCGGGGGCGGGGAAGCTCAGTGACTACCGCAGCTGCGCGAGCGACTGACCTAGGGCGCCGGGACAGAATCATTGGCGCAGGAGCCGCTTCCTGTCCTCAGTGTCCCTCCATAAGAATTGTCTGGTTTGGAAATGACTGGAGGTCAGGGTTGCCTAAATGTCTGGGGTTTGCTGTCTGGAAACCACACGGTTCTATCGCGTCTCTTGCGCTGTCCTAGGGTTTTCTGGGAGGTGTCCTGTACGCCCGTTCTCACCCCGGAGCTTCTGAGAGGGAGGCCCCGTTTTTCCAGTTAAGAGTGGGAAACCACCGGGCGAAGCTTTGTCCCCTCCCTCAGCCCGTTTGTGGTTCCCAGGGGAAAAGTGGGTCTACGTCAGAAAGCATCTCATCAGCTGTTCCTCTGTAGCTCCCGGGCCGTCAGGGGCGGGAGGCTGCGCAGAAAGCCTGCGACGCCCCGGGAAAAGAAGGGAGGTAGGTAAAGTACTCGCGGGCCTGAGTTTCAGGGTGGAAAGCAGAGAAGGAAAGAGCCAGGATGGCCGCAGTGGGCACAGATGAGGTGCCCCCGCCATTTGTGGGAGTGTTCTCTCAGGTTCACCGCAGTCCCCACCACTCTCCGTTGAATTGCTCCCACCTTCTTAATTCTTGTACTTTACCTGTCTGGCCCGGGAGGCATTTGAAATTTCAGTCTGTGTAAATCCTCATCTGGTTTGTGGGAACCCCTTCCTGTGGAGATGTCTCTTTGGATAAAAACGCTCCGTGCAAACAGGATCCCCAGGAGTGGGGAAGAGTGATGGCAACGGAACTGGTCTCCTTTACCGGGAACTGGAGGGACCCAAAAAACGGGGATCTGGAAAGATGGAGGCTGGGAGAGGCGTCATCGTGGGGGCTGCAGTGCATAGTACTCACCTTCAAGCTTATAATGTATCCCAGGATGTGGATATGACTTTGGAGAGAGAGTAGGAGGCACTGTTCAGTAGATTCCAGAATTTCATACTGAAGACATTTTTTGATCTTGGAATCTCAAGGAAGCACTTCATGGGGGAAATAATACCTGAGACAGGCCACTAGAGGAAGGGGAAAGGGAGTCCTGTGGGACTTGGGAGCATATCTCCTGGCTTTGTGCTTGGTTTTGGGAGACAGCCAGGCCTCTTCACAGCCTATCCCTCTGGTTCCTTAACACAGATCAAGATCTGAGCTAGAGGGACTCAATTCTGAGAGCTTTGGGTTCAAAAAGACCTAGGGAGGTGAAGGATAGAAGAGTTCTCACATCGCAGAGTAACGCTCCCTGCTAGACACGGTGCCAGGACTTTCGCATAGGATTACCTCCTCCCCGACACTCTTCAAGGTGGCCTTCGCCTCCTTCTCACAGACAAGAAACCGAGGCTCAGCTGCAGCACTCTACATAATGTCACTGTCACCAAACACGCCTTTTCTTTCCCACATATTTCTATTTCTTACAGCAATGAAACTTGGGAAGTCTCACTAATTTTCATGTAGTCAGAATAAGGCTAAGTGGGTTTCAGAAGAGTTTTGGCCAGTAACAAACGAGCAGACCAGTTTGTAATTGACAGAACATTGGATCCAGAGTCAGAGGTGACGGGTTGGAATTGTGGCTTCTGCCACTTACTAAGCATGTGGAGATGACAACACCTACTCCCCAATGTCATGGAAGATTGAGATGACACATGTAAAGGTGCTTTATGAGCTGTAAAGGTATGAGGGACCAGTGCTATCACTGTCTTCTTTCAAATAAAGGGGCACTGCTTCACACACACCATCAACAGGATAGGAGTTGGATTTAATGATGGGATTGCAGAAAACTACCCACCATATCCTGGTACAGGCTGCCTTTTAGGGGGGAGAATACAGCCAACATTGATTGATTGTGGTTCTGGGGCCCAGTGTGAGTATGGCTTGCAGTCATTGTCCCACTGCAATGTGGAAACAACCACAGATAATTAGAAGATCTTACTTCTGGGCTATAGTTCCAATCTCATTTCAACCATGTTATTTAGGACTACTAAAAGTCAGCAAAATGCCCTGGTTGGAGTTTTACCTTTCTTTTTAAAAAGATTTTATTTATTTTTAGCAGCAGAGGGAGGGGAAAAAAAGGAGAAGGGGAGAAACATCGATGTGTGAGAGAGACAATGATCAGTTGCGGCTTGCATGCCCTCAGCTGACCTGCAACCCAGGCATGTGCCCTCACTGGGAAGCGAACTCGTGACCTTTTGGTCTGCAGGCCTGCACTCAATCTGCTGAGCAATACCAGCCAGGAGTTTCACTTTTCTTTCTTTTTCCATCAACCAATAGAAGCAGAATGCCCCAAAGGCAGAACACATAGAACAGAAAAAAGTATACAAGACTCAAATGATCCAGCAAAGAGGGAGGGGCCCTGGGCAGCCTAGAGTGGGCTGCAGTTTACATTTTCTGAATAGCTTACTTGACGTTCCCAACTGAGGTTCCCTCATGAGACTTCTACCTCCCCTTTCTTGGCAACCCACCCCACAGGCCCAAGATGTTTGGTTCTAATAATTTTAGCACAAAGCTGCACTACAAAGAAGTGATCTTGGCGAAGCCTCAAACCACAAGGTCTTCCAGCTGGCCAGGTTTCCTGAGGGATTCCCCTGTCTTCACCTTCCTCTGATGTCAGCCGCAGGCATTGCAGACACATCAGTGTGTCATTACCAGGCTCTCCCTAGGACCACATCCTCCGTGGCCACTCTGTGGCATTTGGCAGTGCTCACTACTCTCCTTCGTTTTAAGAACTCAGTTTTCAGCCTTCCGCTCTTCCCTCATAAACTCTTTTTCAGTTATTAGGTCTCCCAGAGTCAGGGAGGTTTAAGTCCTCTTCCTAAGAAATCTAGCTTTGCATCATGGTTCTTCGTCGCCACGGAACTTTGAATAAATCACTGTTATTTTCTGAACCTTAGTTTTTTCATCGGCAAAATTCAGTAAAACCATCCACCTGAGTGGTTTTCACCCTGACTGTGTATTAGAAGCACCTGGCAACTTAAATTCAGATCCTCAGGCCTTATCCCAGCTCCATTGAAGCTAGGTTTAAGAACCTTTGACGTACCTCTCAGGACATTCTGTGAAATTTAAGTGAGATTGTGTATACAAAGAGTGGGTATCACAGTGCCTGCCATATGTATGCTCAATAAGTGATGGCTACCAGAAGTATCACCATTTTATTTTATCTGTTCAATAGTAAATATTTCCTGAATGCAAGACGCTGGATTAGGTGCTCGAAATAAGGCAGGGGTGGACTCTGCCTCCCTGAGACTGGCACTCTAGCAAGAGAGTCAGAGGTTAAACAGCTAGTTACACAGTTAATTGTTAATTATAATTTTGGTAAGTGCTCTGACGGAGAGTACACATTGCTGTGGGGCGTACAAGTATAACAAAAGGTCTGACACATGCTTATCATTCCCAAATCCCTTTTCCCAATTTCCAACTCCACACTCACATATCCAGCTGTCTGGTAGATATCTCTTCACAATGCTTGCTGGTGTTCGAATACTTTATATCCAAGAGTGAATTCATCACCTCCTTCTAGCCCTTCCACTCCAGCCCACTTCTTGATCTTGGCTTTTCTGTTCCATCCCTCTTCCTCTGCTCATGCAATTATTTCTTCCTGGAATTTTCTCCTCTGGCCCCACTTCATCTTTTGAAATTGTTAAGGTTCAAATGCCGCTTCCTCCATGAAGACTACCCTGCTATTTTCAATGTAAAGTGATCCTTCCCTCTTCTCCTCCCATTCATAGCTGTACACGGCTTATAGTTAATGCCCATTTTCTGCTGTCATTATTTGTGTGCTTCTCTAAACTGAACTGGAAGCTCCTTGATCCCAATTCTTTTACATGTATGTGTCTCTGTCAGCATCTACCACGGTATTAAACACATGTGAGGTGAAAAAAAAAGGTTGAAAATTATTTCCTGTACAACCACTTGCAAAAATGCTTTGGTATGTATGACACCAAAAATGCAATCCATAAAATAAATTAATAAATTTGACTTCATCAACATTTAAAAAATATTTTCCTCTGCAAAAGACTATTGAGAAGATGAAAAGACAAACCATATACTGGGAGAAAATATTTGCAAATTGTGTGTCGAACAAAGGATTTGTACCCAAAATATATAAAGAATCCTAAGCACAGCAGTAAGAAAACAAATACTCCAATTTGAAACTGGGCAAAAAACTTGAACAGATATTTTACAAGGGGGATATATAGATGTCAAATAGGCATATGAAAATACATTTGACATCACCAGCCATTAAGGAAATACAAATTAAAAGTAAAATGATATGCACTATATAACTACTAGAGTGGCTAAAACAAAATAATGACAATATTAAGTGCACCAGGGATTCAGAGTATCTTGATCTCTTGTCTCTTGCCTGTGGGATTGTAAAATGGTACAGCCACTCTGGAAAACACTTTGGCAGTTTCTTATAAAGTTAAACTACATTTACTGTATGACCCAGTAATCTCACTCCTCAGTATTTAGTTTAGAAAAATGAAAACTTATGTTTACACAAGGATCTGTACATGAATGTTCATAGCAGCTTTCTTTATAATGAGCAAAACCAGGAAATAACCAAAATACCCTTCAACAGGTGATTGGATAAACAAATTGTGATACACCCAGTATTAAATACAATGAACTACTGATGAATAATTTGCAACGACTTGGGTGAATTGGAAGGGCACTCTACTGAGTGGAAAAACTAATCTCAAAATGTTATGTATTATGTGACTCTGTTTGTGTAACATCCTAGAAGTGACAAAATTATAGTGAAAGAGGGCATGTCAATGGTTAGTGGGTTAAGGTAACATGAGGAGTTTTTTGTGTGTAGGGGGGATGA